GGGTTGTGCTGACTGCAATCAGTGTTCCAGTTAAATACAAAACTGGTGCTGAGAAATGGTTAGAGAGAGATATGCCATTTATCTACAGGCACGCTGGCGTGGAAGCTGGCTGTGCAACTAACTGGGAGCACATTCGTGTAAAAGCAAATCATGTTCTCACGGGAAAAGAAAGAATAGAGATTAAGGTTTCACAAGTAACATCTGATGTCTTCAGTAGTGGAATTGTGTCTGCGAAGTTCTATAATACAGTTTCAGGCATAGATCTTAATGCTTTGAGAAATTTCAGTATGTGAATGAGGAAAGGCTTTTTGAAGGAAACCCCCTATTTTTACACATTTCCTCCTCCCCCAACATTGGAAGTATCAGAATCAACTTTTTTACTAGGGTGAACATTGTCATTTTTTAGGAAAAACACAGAAGAGCTATAGCCTCTGTAAGCAGAAGTGCAACTGTAGGTAGTAAATTTCTTTGTTAGAAAGTAAATTTGTTTAGCAGCATTGCTAACTACTTTGTTACTGAATCACTGTGAGGTATGTCTTCCTTTCTGTGTTTTCTGTTGCATTCAGCAGGGCAAAACTTCCTACGCAGATCTAGTTTCATTGACCCTTGCTCAGTTTCATGAGCTCTAACCAGTGGCCTCTGTCCTTGCGTTGTTGAGGGGAGAAACAATCCTGCCCCTGTCTGCAAATAAATCTCTCCAGTCGCTGCACTGGGAAACTTAAAACCCTCTTTTCTGTTTGGCATCTAATCTGCATTCCAGTTCCTGGGATGAGAATTGGGATCTTGGTTCTCTTGTGTCGCTGTGCAGCCTGCAGCAAGGTGTATGTTTATGGCTGCTTCTTTTTCAGTAAACCTGTCTTGTATGGGAGAATGCTCAGATTCAGAACAGAGCAGAGTCGGCATACGTATTCATCTCATCACCAGAGTTGTTGATGAACAATGTCTAATTTCCAGTTCTTCCACTAAAAGCTGAAGTCTAAGGACATTTTTAGGATGAAAGCTGGGAGGCCACTGCTGTATTCGTCTAATAAGCAAAATAAACTTTGATTATTGGTCTAGCCTTCTGAGCCATAGGGGCTGGACTGAGCTTTTGGGACAGCTCTAGTGGGTTGAAACTCTTTAACAGCCCACGCAAGCAGCCTTCCTCCTGCGCAGGACAAGCCGAGGTGTGCCTGCAAGGGAAGTGGGAATTTAGAGAGACTGCTCCAGCCTAATGCAGGATGGTGAAGAAGTGTGAGGAGCGTTGGATGCTGGTGGATGGTGCTGTCTGTCAGGTTACAGTGCATAGGAGGAGGTGTTGGGGGAAGCAGTTTCTTCCTAAGCAGCTATACTCCTACCTTCTCGGAAGAAGTGACAGGCTAAACGGAGTCATCTTATGGACTGGCAGGTTACCTGCTGGATCTTTTTGATTTGACTGATGAAGTAGTAAACAGCTGTAAACACACTTGTTAATGGATTTAGCCTTTGTGGGCTGCTCTAGGGAATCTTGGTTTGAGCCCCTTTATCTACAACTTGTACTTGTTTATTTTGAAGAATATGGAGCTGGAAAAGTCAGGCTGATCACCGTTCTGTACAGCTTCTCTGCCTGAGCAGAGAAGGTAACTTTGTAGCTTTTCTTGGAAATTTTATATTTTAACATGGTCTTAGTTCTTAAGGAAGGTGCAAGTGATAATGACAAATATTATTTAAGGGATCCTTAGCTTATTTCTTTATATTGGCACAATTTTACCTTTTTTTTTTTTTTTTTTAATGGGTGTTTACTGATCTGTTATACATGGTTTAAAAAAATAAAATAAAAAAAAATGTTATTTTGAGTTCCTAAGTTATAAATAAAGTTAACAATGAATGGCGGTGTAAATAATGTTTTCATTTTGTAAGTAAGTACACATATTTTTGTAGTTTTTCATGACAAGCACTGGATTCTAAGTATTGGAAAACAGTGTGAATGCCTCCCTATTTAATCTACTATTTTGCATGTTTTAATTATGAATTTCATTTTTATTTCTGCTAGTTAGAAGAATAGCTCTATAAATCACTGTTAGATTTACCAGTCGTGTCACAATTGACTGTTTCTGTTTATACACATATAAATTCATGTACGTGATCATTTCAGGGAGGAGGAAGTATTCCTCTTACATTTTTATATATGGGCCTGGCATGATGCTCCATGAGAATGACCGAAGATCTACAAAATCCCACTTTAAGAAATGCTCAAACCCTGTTCTTTAATCCAGATACAGAAAGCAAAGGGTGTGACAAATCATAAGTACCCGTATGGCAGGCAAAATTGTTCTGGAGAGGCATCTATTAACAAAAGTTCAAGTTCTGCAAAAGGAGAAATGTCTTTTTTGGAAGGAGGGGAGACTTTTTTTTCTTTTAATGAAAGACTTACTGGCATATCATACCACTGGCAGCAGTGGAATCTGTTTGTTGGCAGTCGCTGAGGGAACATCCCATTTTGATTTAAAGATTATTTTCTGCTTCAAACAAATTCCTGTAGTGGTTCCCATGGTTAATGCTGCACAGGAGTGTAGCAGACCAAGTGATTTGCAGCCAGCCCTGCTGGTTTATAAACCACAGCCTTTTCTGTGTGTGTGGTTTTTGGGTTGGGTGTTTTTTGTTTCTTCTTTCTCTGTTAAATCAAGGTGCTATGGTTTTCTTTGACTCAGACTTCAGGTTCAGTATACATTCACTGCCTGTTGATCTTATATTTCACTTTTTTCATGCAAAAGTTCAGACAACTAATAAGCAACTTGTTAGATGTTTGTTTTTAATATTTTGACCATTTAAGTGCTCAGTTGCTTCCTTTAAATGCTTTTAGGTGATTCCACTCAACTGGTGCTCTCTCCTTCTGGCAGCTAGCATCACCCTGGGTTTTGCTCTGAGGAGGCCTCATAGCTTTCTCCCCCACTTTGCCAGTATTGAGGAAACTGGCAGAACCAATTTAAACTTCTTGAAGTTTTCTGGAGTAGGACTATTCTGTGATTTCCGTGAGCAATTTTCCACTCTGACTTATGAGAATTCTTGCAGTCAGCAAGGAGAGATCCTTTAGTCCTCAGGGGCTTCTGCTATGTCCCAGTAAACTATTTCCGGTGCTTGATTCCATTATAAATCCAAATTACTGTTTCCTTTCAGCCCCTAAGAATTTTCAGGGATGTTTTGGGGGCCTGACGAAATTTGACAAGCCTGAATATCCTTAAAAACTGTCCTGGAGACTCCTGGTAACTGCTTGAGTAGTTCCTAGAGCCACAGTTCACGTCCTGTTTGGGGCATTTGCCGTGGCTCTCTTTTGGTGGGAGTGGAAGCAGCTCAGGGAACAAATGGTTCTCCAGCCACCAAGAGCATTCCTAAAGCCTTGGGATAAACTCTTCGGGATATCTCCTTGCTGGGTTGGAGACATGGCAGAAGTTGCTCTGTCCCCCCACCCTCCAGCTTGACACAGGGGCCTCCTGTGTCGTGGTTAGCCCGGTGCTGCTGTAAGCTTTTGAAAGACAGGATTGTGAGGTTTTCTTTTTCCATTGCTCCCACCAGGGGTGCACCAAAGGGTGCTTTAAGAGTTTTTGGCAGAATCAGGAAATGGATGCAGAAAGAACAAGTTTGGGCCCCAAGAACACGTGCTCTGAAGTTAGGAAATATCTGCTGTATGAATGACGGCACGACACGCAGTTTGGCCCAGACTTGCCAGATATTTGGGTTTCCAGTTGACTACATAGGTTAGCATGCTGCCGTGGCTGTTTAAAAACCTGGATCGATCTGGTTAAGGTGAATTGGCAGGATGACTCCCACAGGAATCCCTGCATGGCTCCAGGGGTGGGTGGGAGCAGACAGCCCAGTTCAGATTTGTTGTGCTAGATCTCTAATACATCCCTCTTGTGCGTTATGGTAAGAGCTCTTCAGAAGTGTTCCAGAAGGCTGGTTTAAGCCTGTAATGTTTTATCTGAAGCTTTTCACGCTTTGGGGGTGGAATGTGGGGAGAGAGACAGCCTTCTGTTGTATCTGAGGTGGGCTTCCAGCGGGATCTGCCTGGGCTCCTGGCAGTTCAGCCCCGTGGCTGTGCTAAGCCTGGTCCGCGACAGACCAAAAGGGTCCCACCTGCTCCTCCACACCTCCAACCAACACTCCTGTCATCTTCTCCGTGTTGCTGTTGAAATCAAGAAGTTCCAACTTTTGCTGAAATTTCAAACATTTTAAAAGTTTTGAGTCTTTTTTTTTTTTTGCCCCAAATCCAACCACTCTCCTTCTCTGGTGACATTTCATGTGAACTGGAAACTGTGTTTGCTGGCCAGATCTAGTAAGCTACAGTTTTATGGTTTATAATGACATACTGTGTCCTTTTTCTTTCTCTTTAGTATGACTATGAGGATGTTTATCATAAGTGCACTGGTGGATGCTCACCCTGTCAACTTAAACCTCTTGTTTCTTGACTTTGAGCATCCTGATTTTATAACTTACGTTAATGTAAGGTTTTCTTAATGTACTTAAATGTAAATATTTTGACATCTATATATATCAATACCTAATGAATTTCACTGTGTTAAAAGATTATTATTTGTTACTCAGTAGCCTATTCTGCATTTGTTTGTAGTGTTTCTTGTTGCAGAAATTTTTGTGTCCCCAAATAAAAAAAAATTGTCCAGTGTCTTATTCTGGTGTTCAGTCATTGAGGCCATCAACCTGATCTACGGGACTGGCACAAATAAAGCAGTTGCAGTTTGGCTGCAGCCTGTAAATTTCTGAAATTTCTGCATTTGTTTTATAGATGATTTTTCCTGACAGTGGATTGAAATAAGGGATAGAAATTTTGAAAGCTTGAATGAACCCAGAGATGTGATTTTTTGGGGGGTTAGGATTTACGACTCCTAACTGGCATGCTTCTCCTTTATTTTACCTCAGAGCTGGCTTGCTTTTTTCTTTTTATTGCTGATACTAAGTAACTTGTCAGTCTGGCTACAGAAACCTAAACCATGCTTTTTTTTTTTTTTTTTTTTTTTTTTTTTTAGGCCCTCAGTGTTACTGAAACTCTGATCAAACCTTTGGAAAGATTTAGGAAAGAGCAGCTAGGAGCTGTAAAGGTTTGTCCCTTGTTGCCTTTATGATAAGTTTGTTTAATTTCTCTACTTGGATAGCATTACAGTAATGACATGTATTTGGCAGAGAGATACTGTTGTTTATATTTCATGTATTCACACTTTTTTTTTTTTTTCCTACTTTGAGAACTTGCTTCAGAAACAAATGGAAAGTATGTTTCAAGAAGAGAAGAATGTGTCTTTTCCGTTCCTTCTCTCCTCCCCCTCTCTTATCTCTTGTGGCTAGAATAGGAGCAATCCTTCTAACAGCTTGCCCCGCTTCCTCATAGATAACCCTGTTCTCTTTTGTATTTGCTTGCAGTTGCACGGTCAAAGGCTGAAAAAATATTAACTCCATCATTCATATGCTTTTAACAGCATTTTTCCAACCTGCTAAGTGAAAATTGCCTTTACTTGATTTTTTTGTTTTGTTTTGAGTAAGTAACTCATTGCCTTTGTATGAGTGGAAAAAAATAGGGATGGAGAGGCTAAAGACAAGATCTCATTCCAAGTATTTTTTTTGGTGAAATTGTTCAGTAATTTCTAAGATTGTCACTCTGTTGTGTATATTAAAAAAAAAAAAAAAAAAGGCAAAGTAAACTTAATTTATTAAATACAGACTAGCTTTGGATAAAAGTAATAAGGGCAAATCTGACTTCTTTCTACCTTCCTTCTTTCAGTGAGAAATATAAATGCTTATTCAAAAGAAAAAGCTGCCACCACCACCAAAAAAAACCAAACCAAAACAAAACACCCCAACCCCAAACCTAGCTATTTAATGCAGTTTCACAGTTTTCTGTTCCAAAACTCAATTAATAAATTTTTAAGCTACCACTCTGCAGATGTTTTATTTTATAATTTCATGCCTTCATCAGCAGGGATATTTAATAGCTAAGATAATGTTTCAGTTACAAGAGCACTATACATTTTGGCTTTAGCAGGAATGATTAACATATTCTGCATATGATTTCACTGTTCGTGAATGGAAAATGCTCTGTTGATCATAAATCATTACAGTTCAGTACTACAATGAGCTTTGTGTAAATTTATGGACTTCTAAGAAGTATATCAGACGTCCTAACCAACATACAATAAAAACTTGGTTTGTAATATCAGGAGTCCTTCAAGGAATAAGGGAGTTCGTTCTAAATGTAACCTATTGTCATAGAAGCAGCTGTAATTAATGGAGTATTTCAATGGTATTTTTGGTCTTAAAGAACATTGTAATTTTGGGGCCAGGAAGTCCTAATACTTTAAATTATCTCATGATCTTCACTCATTTACTAGTTAAAATTCTGTCGCTGATGTTTCTAACATGACAAGTTACATTCACACAGTCTACATCTCACATTTTGTTTGAATGGATGTTTCTTCCCTTGTGTCCTTGAATACTGTGTCTGTGAAGCTGAAGCTCGTATTGGCCATTTTGTTGGACAGAATTCTCAGCGACCTTAAATAGAACAGTTTTGCATAATTGTGTAACATTCAAATAAAAATCCTCTAAAAATATTTAACTCCAAATATTCTTAACTGAACTGGAAATACAGTGCTGCTTAGCTCAGAAAACCAAGTTATGGCATCTAGGAGTGAAATATATCTGGGACATTGTATAGCATTCGCTTTAGGAAAAATTTACACTCTACCATTACAAAATAAAAGTTGTATCTGCTGCCTCAGATTTTCCTGTATCTGTCCTGGTTTGGGCTGGAATATCCCCTGTTGATATAATGGTCTGATTTAGGCTTAACGAGAAAAAGCTTAGCTCCATAGTGCTGGAAACTGAGACCCTTACTGAATTATCCCTTAGTACAAGGTATTGCTGCTCTTGTCCCAGACTGTATGGGTAAAGGTTCTGACTTTGCCTATTTAGAAGGCAGTAGCGCTCTTTTCTTTTCTGGCAGCACTCAGATGTTGATCAGCTCAGTGGAAATTTTGCTAATGTAAACACAAAGATTCTCCCCTCTCTCTTTCTTCCTAATTTCCCATATGCTAATACGTTATCTCTAATCACACTAATACCATATGCATATTTTAATGTTTCTCAGGTGGTAGGGAATACTGTGTCTGCTGCTTTTTTTAAAGGAAGTTCTTAGACTCATAATGGAGAAAAGGCTAGCATTTTGGGCAAAAACCCTTGCTGAGAAGCAATCCTAAACAGCTTAGATCCCCTCTTGAATAGAATGCCATCTTCAGAATCCAGTTGTTTGGAGAACAAAGTAGTGTATCACTTTATATATAGTATTATTAAAAATGAAAGGTAAAGAGAAAAAAAAATGAGCATGTCTGCACAGTCTAACCAGTAAGTTGGGTAGAATACATTTAAATGAAATTCCAAATTGATACACGATGGAAAAATATTTTAATCGAACTGCTATATTTCTGATGAGTAAATCTATCAGTTCTTGAATATATAATTAAATACTTTATTTTACGTATTTCAGATTATGTTCAACTGCTATTAATTAAATACTTACTTTAGATTATTTTCAACTGCAATTAATTATACTAAAAATAGCTTCAAAACTGGTTGGTTGGTTTCATCAATACTGATTTCTCATCTTAACACACAGTTGGGGAACTAGAACTGAGGAAACTAAAGGGTTGTTTTACAACGTCTTCTACTAAATTGGATCCAAGAACTCAGATTTCATAGGGGCACTTAATGGCTGTCCCTCTTCCAATTCATTGCTTTTGATGGTCAGAGAAATGGATTTGCACATGCAAATGATATTCATATGTGTCTGTGAGAGTTTCTCTTTTGCTGGCATGATTTTTTGTTTTATGGAAATTTTCCTGTATTTTAAAAACTCTTTTTTTTTTTTTTCTTTTTTTTTTTATGGGCACAACAGCAGTCTGGTAGGAGCAGGAATTCAGCACAGAGGTCTTTGTATGGCTTTAAAATCAGGAAATCTTATGGAAAATGGAGTTGTATTTGCTTTGGGTTTTGAACTGTGGAACTGTTGGAACTTTTCCCCTGTCAATTATAGAAAGTTATTTTCTTCAGTGAAACTGCTATTTCCCTTGAAGTCATCTGTTCAAAAATAAGATGGTGTGGATGATCCCTGAAAATAATGAAAAATGCAATAAATCAATAAGGGGTTTTTTTGGTCTTTTTTAACTTAGAAGATATAACCATTCATGTGGTAAGCTTCAGCATATTGATGCAAAGCCTTTAAATTAATTTTAAAAATGAGTTGGAAGCATACTTTTCCTTAGTTATTGGAGCTATGATAGTTTCTCTTTGTTTCTGATTAAGTAGATTTTTAATAGAAGGAAGAACAAGGCTTTTCATTTTCATGTATAAGTGAGTGTTACTTTGTTTCTGTGTCTAGGAGGAAAAGAAGAAGTTTGATAAAGAGACAGAGAAAAACTACAGTTTATTAGAAAAGCATTTGAATTTATCAGCTAAGAAGAAAGAGCTACAATTACAAGAGGTATTGTTGCCTTTTTTTTAATGCAAGCTAAAGGCTTTTTAGTAGGTAAATATATTTTATGCAAATGCAGAATCAGGATTCATAGTGGTAGAATAAAAATTTCTGTCAACTGGAAAGACTGGTGACAAAAGCAGTATTTCCTGAACTTAGTGGTGTACCACTACCATTTTCTGAATTGGTTTTAGTTGGTGTGTGTATGAAGCACTGAACATCATGTTAATTTTTTATATAGTTAAGGGAATAGCAAAGTGCAAATACATTGTGAAAAAGTGTATTTCTTACAAGGCTTTACCATATAAGTAATTTATATTGCATTATATGTATTGACTAAATGTCTTGTGTTAATGCTTAATGCAAAATACAGCAAAACTCGTATTCTTGAAGGCAGTGTTTTTGTGCTGTGTTTTTTTTTTTTTTTTTTTTTTTTTTTTTCTTTCTTTCTCAGGTTTGGTTTTGCATATCTGTTTTTTTCAAATAATGCTATAAAAAAGTTTGACAATTTATAACTTAAAACCAGATCCATTTTGCCTGTCATTCCTTCTGTCCCTGTGGGTTTATTATCATTATCCTTATTTGTAATAGCCTTTATTCCAGGAGCAACAGCAAATAGTACATGAGAAGAGAGCAGAGGAATCTTGTAGAGACTTGCTGTAGGCAGAAGGATTTTTTTTCAGGGAAATAGAATTATGTCAGAGTTATTACTGCTTAGTCTATTGATACCTTGTATCGTTAAACACTTAATGTTTTCCTCAGAGGTAACTGTTCTACCTGCTCTCTACCCCACTGCAAATAATCTATGCCATTTTTCATAAAAAATGGTTAATTTAACTGACAAGTTAGCTAGCAATTTAAGAACTCTAACTGATCTTGAGTTTTATTAGGATGTTACTTCTCCATGCTGTATTTGGAACATAGGCCCTCACATGCATAAACAGTGTCTTTTGGCGAGTTGAGTTGTCCTGGTGAAGTTAATGGGCGTTGCTCATGTGTCAGGACCTGTGCTTTCATCAAACTGATCAGCTGCCAAAGAACTTCACGCAGAAATGAAAGAGTATTAATTATGATTTCTTACTTGATGATATTGAGAACCATATTTCAAAGTCTGAAATGAGACCTGACCTCAATGGAAAAATACAAAATGCCTGCAAGAGGCATTTTGAAGCTGTACCAAATACAGTCTGAAGTTTTAAAGCATGTGTGAAAACTAGAATGAGCAAATAGAATTGTTTTAAATGTCTTTCAAAGTTTCATGAACCAAAAATTCTGGAATTCTTCAGTCATGTGCTTTCATTTGTGCATTTGATTTTGGAGTACAAATGTGTGAGCAATTAAAAAAAAGACTAGCAGCATATTGTCAGTGTAAATAGGTAAAATTTTCTTACGCAAGCTTAGAAAATAGGTATATATAATTGTACGGGAGCTTCCTAATTTAGTATTATACATGGCTAGTTGTCTCAGTTTCTCACTGGAGTAAATAAGGGATGCAGGTATAAATATGACTAAAATTTGTTGCAAAACATGCCACGTTGTGGAGCGTGTCTTACATTGACCTAGTCTTTGACTCTCTTAGTGGAAGGGTACTCCTGAAATTTCACCGAGCCATGGTGTGTGTGTTATTTCACTATTTCTTTGACACTACACAAAGTACAGTGCAAGAGAGTGAACTTGCTGGGTGCACGGGGAAGCTCATGCCACAGAAAACTGAGGAGAGAAGTGATAATTTATTTACAGGGGAATTAAGAGGAATTGATAAAATGGATGTGTTGGGTATTGTATTCTTGGGGGGAGGGAGGGAAGGCAACCAAAACAATAAAAAAACAAAAACCAAAGAACTGAGATAGAAATGGGTGTATGTGGGGCTTTGGTGTATATAGTGCAGTCTTACTATCAATTAGCCAGATGTCCTAGTAGAACCACTTAGTCTTTTTCTGTGGCTACCCTTCAGTACATGTATGTATCATTAGAAGCTTTGCTTCCAACTTAAACAATTCCTGTGTTGCATGTTTTATAGAATGCATCACAATGGCTTGGCATTTTGAAACCTGTTTTCTTACTGATGTGCATATCAGTGCTTTATTTTTTTAATAGCATTTGTTGTTATGCCCCTTTAACTGCTGACAGGTTTCTAGCACAGAGCAGCAAAGCAAAGCCTGTCTTAAGGCAAAACTGTCTTAAAGCTAATTTGATTTATCCTCTTAAAGCATAGCAGTCACTGTTCTGCCTGAAGGATGTAGTCTCAGTATTTAAGAGAGAGTGTATGATAGGAAGTCTTGTCCTTTCACCTAACCCTTTCTCCATTCCCTTTTGTAATTTAGTGTAGAAACATGTGATATTATCAGATGGGCAAAGACTAAATGTTAATCGCTTGGATAATCCCTTTGTAGCCTTTCTTTAATGTATTTTAATAAAGGTTTCTGTTATACAGTTCTTGAAGTTTTATAGTTTAATAAGGGCACACGTACTTTAAATAGTAACTTAATGAAACAATACATATATGTTAGAAAGTTAAATATTTATGAACAGATGAATAGCAGCTGAAATATAACTGTTCACCCTGAAGATGGTGATGGCATTTCAGCAAAGCTGAGCTGCAGTTTTAAATATTTGCTCCATGGAATCTTGTGAAGAGTCTTACCAATAAGTGACCTTTTTTTATTGCTTTCTTGCCAGTCAGAGTGAGCACAGGTGTGGAATGGGTACAAGAGCGTTCTGTCTATTTTATAGCAGTTATCTGGGTTATAGAGTAAAGCTTATAGTACCAGCAATGTGGATTTCAGCAATAACATTTTCTTCCTTAGTTTGACTGGAGAGATGATTTCTCCTTTTTCTAGTGGAAGACTCTGCTAGCCCCCTCTCTGTTTGAGCAGGCACCTTTTCAGTGCTCTTAAAGCAGTGCACAAGTACCTGCTCTGATGTATTTGTCTTGGATTCCATAAAAAGGAAGCTTGAAGAGGTGTTATTGGAATGTTTCTAAAAATTTAGCTTCATGATTCAAAATAACATGTTATCTAGTAAAAGGGAATTGCTGCTGCCATTTAAAAGTAAATGAATTAGCTGTGTTGTAAAGCCATAAATTCCAGTCTGGAGAAAATTATCTTATTGCTTGCCACTTGTATGCTATATGTGTGTCATTTTGAAGTTCTCTGCAAAATGTCTTTGAAACTTCATTAGCTGTGTTCTGTGTGCAGGCAGATAACCAAGTGGAGCAGAATAGAAAACACTTCTATGAGCTGTCCCTCGAGTATGTATGCAGGTTGCAAGAGATACAGGAGCGGAAGAAGTTTGAGTGCGTGGAACCTGTAAGTACCAGTGAATTCAGCCTACCCTGCAATTCGTAAGGGATGGAGAAGGAATGCAGTTGGACAAAAGCCAAGCAGCTCTGTTTTCTGGGAAAACATATGTAGTTGTGTGACTTAACAGCATTTAAAGCACTCTTGCAACTTCTGTGCAAATTCCTAGTACAGATACACTTAGCCAGGTATCTCAAATCTTACCTCGGTAATTACAATTGGTTTGGATCCATTGATGTAGATTTTCAGAAAATGTGTGAAACCTTGTGCTGTGCTGCAAACCCCTTGATTTATGGTGTAATTTAGAAAAGAGGATTCAAGATGATGATGTTGGGATCAGACTTTTTGCATTTGTGTATTGCTTTTTTTTTTTTTTTTTTTTTTTTCCCCACTGAAATGTTATTCCTGACTAATGGAAGGAATTTCATTTTCAATATAAAAGTTGCACTCAGAGGCTTGTTAATGAAGGAGTGCAGATATAAATTAAGAGGGTGCTGCTGGTTAGAAAGCTCATTATCAGGTAGTCTGATATGTTTGATTTCAGTTGCAATTGAATCTGTTCAGAAATCAAGGGATTCCACTGAATTTCAGTGAAAATCATACGTGTATTGACCAGACTTACTTAAATCTCTGAAAAGAGCTTATTCTAAAATTTACTGAAATATGTGTTAGATGTGTAGTATAAATGCTACTTTATGAAACGAGAACAGTAAGTATGATACTGAGTTCAAGAGCGGATGGATTGTAGAAGTGACTTCCATTCCCTTCCACTCTGAAGTCTGTGTTTTTGGGCTGAGTCTGTCCTTTTATTCGACACAATTATTTTAATGTAATAATGAAAAAAGTTCCAAATGACCCTAATCAAACTAGTTGGTCATTATGGACTTAGTGAGAGTTGAAAATTTTAATTTTTCCTTATTCCTGTGTGAAAAAATTGCTAAAACCCTTAAGTGGAAATAAATTACTTTGAATATATTAGTATTGTTCAAGGAATGGGAAAATGTTGTGAAAAATGGTTGTGTGGGATTTTTTTTGTTGTTGGTGTGTTTTGTTTGGTTTTGTTTTGCCTTCTTTCTAGTTTTTAATACCTTTTTAAAAATTCTAAATAGTTTTGGATTCAATTCTTGTGTTTGAAACTGTTTGAAGTTTCCTCAGAGCCAGCCGAGAGTAATGAATCTTCAAATGATTTTTTTGAAACACGTCCTTTTCTCTTTTCTGGAAGCTCCCTCTGAATGGGGCTGAACTTCATGTTGCTCAGTTTATATTTGAAGTTTACACTAGCATAGTAAACTGAAATTATTTAGTACCAAATTCTTGTCCCCTTTCCCCTTCATAATACTTTATGCGTTTTGCATTTTTGCAAATGATTTATTTGCATATGACTTCAGACTGCATTAAACACGTTCTTTATTTTTTTATCTATTTTTGTATATTTGTTCTCTTTATTAAAAGAGTTGTTCTTCCCTGTGTCATTCGCTTCTTTCCAACAACCTGAACCAAACAGGAAAGGTAGACAGTACTGCACCTCACCCTGTTTTTGATATAGTGTAACTCCTTCATTCTTTTAAATTGAAACACTAAAGTCAAAACTGCAATGTGGATCATTTGCCTTGTTCTAATAGAGGGTCAGATCTGCATACAAAAAGCAGTGATGGGTAGAGTTACTGGAGGGAAAGCTTCCTTCTTTGAACAAACCAGTTGACTCTATGAAAGTCATCTCAACACTGTTATTAGCAGGGAGGGGAACGACCAGGGAAGTGGTGACTACAAGAGTGATCATTGACCTCCTTGAGCACAAATATTTATTCGAGACATTGTTGGTATCAGATCAGCTGTAGGAAAACGGAAAGTTTAGGAGATGGGCAATATACATTGCCTATGGTCAAATTTGAAGTAGGGTTCATTTGTGCATTTCCAGAGACAGGACTACCCGAAAGTCTCCGTATATGTAGCTGATCATTTGGATCTAAATAGTTATTCATCAGTTGTAGGCACTCGTGAAAATTTGTTTGAAAATAATCATTTGTCATCTCTGGTCTTTCCAAAGAAGGCTATGTGCAGCAATCATATTCTGGTAAATGGAGTTTTTCATTCTAACGTCTTTTGTTTGTATTTCAGGTGCTATCATTTTTTCAGGGTTTGTTCACTTTCTACCATCAGGGATATGAACTTGCTAAAGACTTCAATCATTACAAAATGGCCCTGCAGATAAATATACAAAATGTAAGTTGAAATTAATAGCTATGCCTTTTCTAATTTTTCGAGTGAAATTGCACACTTAAGTTCCTGTAATGCCGTATCTGTATTGCCAATACGTTCCTGGGTGTTAGTGCATTGCCTGTGAACTTTGGGGATATAGTGCCATCTCCTGGCTAACCAACCACATCACTGAACAATTCCTCGCTAATTCCAGTGAGTTCTTAATTTTTAATACTCCTCTAAAAAATAAACACCAAGTAAAAGACCCCCACTCCTTTTTTCATTTTTTTTTTATAGAGACATGACACAAGGATTATCATGAAAGATTTTTAAAACCAAATTAAGTCTGTTAAAATGCCTGCAACACTGGAGAATTCAGAGAACGGGTAATGAAATGCCAAGGTTCTCATTGTTTTAGGTATGTTTGAAATTGAGTATGTGGTGGTCATGTCTGAGGGTGATTGCTTGATAGCGCTATATTATCCACAAGTAAGAAAAGGAAAAAAACAACATCAGGGCTTACCAGCATTTTTTTGGACGTCTCTGCCAGCAGTGTGACTTGGAGTTTCTGTTTGTCTTGAAGCAGCCTTTTCAGGCAAGAACACCCCTGTTGATATGGGGTGCAGAGCTGTATAAGGAGACTTGGTGTTAGCACCCGTGGTGTATTTGACAAAATGATGTTTTCCTTCAAGGGTAGGCTAACTGGGGCCCACCGCTAGTTGTACTCTTGCACCAAATTGCTCAGTGTGATCTGCTCAGGACTGGGAGAGCAGGAAACAAGGTGGCAGGCTGAGCGACGGGAATGACAGAGTCACTAGTCGGATGGTGTGTTTGCTTCCTTGAGATTTGTTGAAGAATAAAACTCACCCAGAGCAACTTGGATGTGCCAGAGGGGCCTGTTGGTAGGGAACAAACCATGTACCTTACTGCCAACAAGCAGTTCAAGATGGTGCATCTGCTTTGTTGACCTCTAAGGGCACCTGGAATTAAGACACAGAAACTGCTTCTCGGAGGTTGCAGTTTATTTTTAGAAATGGCTTAACTAGCTGGCAGTAGCAGGGAGGCGGGAAGGCGGAAGAGAGGATTATGGTGGTTGTAATACATAGTGACATGATTTGTGTGTCATGATACCATTCCTTTAATTTTCTTCCCATATGTTAAAGTCTCAGGTTTCCTCTTGAGCTGTTATTTGGTTTGGGTAGGGCAGCTGAGTAGTGGTAACTTCATAAGCAGACTTCCATGGCAGAAGTCAGTGCTTTTGGAGGAAATTTGAGGACAGACTTGCTTCTGTGTGCTTAGCTTAACAGCATAAGGAGCAGTGTGGAGCTGCAGTGGGTTGAGGGGAGCTGATGCAAGACGAGCAAGAAATTAAACTTGAGAGGGAAGCTGTGATACAGTTTTGAAGAGCTGGATTTCAGATTACAGATGGGAAGGAGGCAGTGAAGTGGTCTTAAGAACTGATGAGCAATAAGAAAGCAAGCTAATCTCAACAGCTGCATTTTCAATTGACTGAATGGTATTATCGTGTGCCCCAGGAAATCCAAAAGAGATGGAGCATTACAGTTCAAGTTTTATGAATAGATAGAAAGAATGACCTGGATTTCAAAAAGCTGTAGAGAGAAAGGAGGCAAGACTTAATAACTATCTGAGGTAAGAGGAGAATAGAAGGAAATGTTTGAAAAGATCATGAGAGGACACGACACGCTCTCCACTGTGTTGAAGATGAACAAAACATCCCAAAGGAAGAATGAACCAGGGCTTGGCTGTGGTACAGCTGAGCTGCTGGCAGAACATTGGATTGAGATGTTATAAACTGAAAGGTACAAGATTCAGTACAGACAGCCTAGCTGGATATGGAGAGTGATTTGAGAGTTGCCAGTGTAGCTGAAATAATTGCATTCCCTTCCATTCAGGTTGTCTTTACTTTGAGAATTATGCTGTGGATTTCCTCCCCAGACCCTGCCTTCCCCTCACTCGTCCCCCAAAATGAAAGGTAAACCAAAAACCAACCCATCCTTGTAGTCCAAGCTCCAGTTAGCTGATTCTTCCAGCAGTCTTATTCTCTTGCAAAAATCCTGTGTCTCCAACTAGATCCCCCAGACTCCCAGGATTTTTCTCTTGTTATCTCAGTTCTGTGCCCTACCCCATACAAGGACCCTTGCAGCCCTGACCATGTTTCTCCTGCCCTGCAAGCAAACCTGGCCTTTCCTGGGAAGAGGAGGCATAGCCACGCTGGTGCAGCGGCTGTCGTCGATTCCTGGTTAAGCTCATCTTTGTCACAGCACAGAGGGAGGTGGAAATTGTCTTGAGGTTTCTGGAACCTGTCGTGTTCCGTCCCACCATTCCAGGGGTGCATTTCACATGCTCAGATTTGTGATCAGCTAAGACAAAGATCCTGGCAGGATCATTTAAAGCATCTGACCTTGGAGTGATCAGTGTTCAGTCAGGAAGGTTTAGGTATGAGCAGTCTGTTGCTGTCAGGTTTTTTGCCTTTGTCCTGAGTACAGAGTATATTTTTTTAATACAGCTCTTCTAGGAGATTATGAAAAGGAGCTTAGAAAATTGTTTGGAGCCTTGGAAATGAGTTTATGTGTAGGGTCTAACTCCAAAATTGGCAAGCAGATGTGACCTGAAATTGAGATTATGGATATGGGGAGGGTTCAAAGCAGTTGTTTTGCCTGGAGGTAAGAAGGCAGTTGTTCTTAGTTATCACCTGAAGAATACCTGCCACTTTCCTCTAGAAAACATATGGTCGTGGGTGGCTGCTGTGGCCAGCCTGCATGGACTGTGTTTGTGCCTAGGAATAAACTCCTTCCATGCATAAATCTGGAATTTGCATGTACAGATGGACAGTCAGGAGCATAGTGTTAACTGTCTGTGTACGAGAATGGATACTTGTTTTTATTCGTGATATATTTATTAGTGTATACTTGTCGTGGGGAAAAAAATAAAATAGGTGAGGCAGCATTTTCAGAAAAATACAGGTGCTCTCAAAAAGCAACAAGACACATAAGCATGTATCTGGAAGTATGTGCTTTCCTCAAAACACATTTACTAATGGGGGAAAATACCAGCCTGGAATTTAAATGTATGTTTTCAGTTTGTGCAATTTGGGCAAGCAAGTATGTGGAGAAAACTGTGTCTTTCCGTGATTCTTTTGGTTTTGTTATTTGCTTCTTGGCCAATTGCCAGTATTTTTCAGACCAAACCAAAGAGTTTCTTGTGTCCGGTGCGAGCTGCTCTGTTGTTTTGTGTAGTCCTATTGTATAATTTGTGTATGGTATGATTACTTTCTCAATATTTTTACTAATGGTCTAATAAATATTTCTCTTGTGTCTGCTTGCAAACTTTGGAATGAGTGACATTAAGGAATAATAATTAACTGGACTTTGGTGTGGTTTTTGGTTTTTTTCATGCTTCTGTTTGTAATCAAAACATTTGGCATGTGTATAGTCTCACCACGTATACATTGTTGGTGACCTTCTTTTCAAAAAAAAAATCCTCTTTTTCCTGACAACTAGTAAGAATCTCATGAATTAAGCAAACATCTGTAGTAATATTTTTCTGAGGAAACTTGAATATTCAAATCCAAAGTAATTTTGCACTCATTATTTCACTTCTTTCTGAACAGATCAGCTCATTGTTTTAGAAATATACTCTGGCAATCTTTGTGTGCTTTCCACAGCTAAAACAGCTAATATCTAAACCACACTTAAATTTTGAAGAATATCAGAAAAATTGAAGAGTAAACATAACAGGAAATTGTGCACTGACCATCCTAAAATGGCCTGAATCATTATCTCATTTTATAAATAATTATTATAACTCCTGTCTGCCAGGAAGAGTAAGTCTTTCTTCCAGTCTCTCTACTAATGGGTTTTTGCTGTCTCATTTTAGACACGAAATCGTTTTGAAGGAACAAGGTCAGAGGTAGAGGAGCTTATGAACAAGATCAGAAGAAATCCTCAGGAACATAAGAGAGCAAATCACTTCACAATGGAAGGCTATCTCTATGTACAGGAAAAAAGTAAGGTGTATTTTTTGTATTCCTATAGTGTCCATATTGTGCAAACGAGCAAGGCTTATTTCTACAGGCAAAATGAAGGTGCAAAGTATTTACAGTTTATTAAACACAGTCATCTGAGTAGAAGTTCAAAGTCTCTAATGGCAGTGTTACTGTGGCTCATAAAAAGAACATGGTGCTGAAAGTGTGATAGTTCTTAGCAAAGGTGACTGAATTCAGGGAAGTTTTATTTGACCAAAAGATGTATTTCATGTTATTTTTTTATCCTTTACTAATGGTCTCCCCTAGAACTGTCAAATATTTGTTGTCAGACAACAATGTGAGTTGTCAAATTAGCCTCTGAAAATTGGGTTAATTTAGTATGATGAAAGTGACTGTCATTTTCTTGGTTCAGTGATATGCTTTCATTAAATAACTGTGATCATAGGGTCAGGTAAAGCAGGATATATGCCTAGGTAGCTAGTGTTGAGAAGCTTGCTGTGAAGGAGCATGTCACATAAATCAAGTTGCCAGTACTTTGAACAATTATAAATCTTTCTCAGTGTAGTAAAAAAGCCAAATAAGATGAAGAGCTCTTACTGCTGAAGGAATGACCACAAAGTAGTTTGGCTTTTTTTTTTTTCCCCCCCATTTTTTTTTTTTTTGTTTTGGGTGGGGGTGTTGTTTTGTTTTTTAGAAACCATTTCACATAAATCATATTTTTTGGATGTGTGCCCTTATAGAAAACTTGTTTGCTTATTCTGATGAGAGATTTTATTTTTATTATATTTAGTTGATTGCTGTTTAAGTAAAGACTTCTGCAAAATGTTTCACAAATTGAAGACTGAACAATATTCTTGGTGGAAATATTGGTATTAGAGTGTTGAGAAACAAGTTTTAAGAGAACTAGCAGTAAATAAGAAAAATCATTACTCTGTGAGATCAGTAATTCACCGGTCTTTGTCATTGTGTGCTTTAGAGTAGGCTGAAAAGATTCAGAAGAGGTTGGTATGCCCGAGGCTGAGTTGGGGAGGAGCCGGGCAGTGAGACCTTCCAGGTTAGGAGCAGTGAAATCCTCTGTCAGCTTGAGCTGCTTGTGAAGGGCTTCCCTGGTACTCTGGGGCAGGGTCCTTCAAAAGAGAAGGCTCCTTTACAGGCATTTTTGTTTTTTTTTTTTTTTTTTTGTAAAAAGTGAGTTGCTAGAAGTGAGGTGATAGAGCGGGTCAGAATCCAAGTTTTAAGAGTTAAGGTTGTGGTACAAATCTTAATAATGCTGTATTCAGTAATCTGGGCTCTTAAAGTGTGTTCTATGTAGGGTGTGCACTGACGAATAGTTCGGAGTGAGTTCTGATGTCAGAAAATGTGATCAGACCTTTATCAGTAGATAATGTAGAGCTTGCAACACAGCTGCGTTAACGTGCAGTTATTTAGATTCAAGTTACCAGGTATAAATCTAGGTTTCTGTGTTCTTAGAGTAAGTTTCCAAGAGTTATTTATTTTATAGGGAAAAATTATTTTGTCTGTAGTAGTGAGACAAAGATACATTAATAATTCTTCTCATTTGTCATTAAGCATAAATATGAAATGCTACATATATCAGTTTTTAGAATAGTAAGCATTGGTTAACATTTGTATTACTTTGTATAATGTTCTTAATTCATACATTTATTTTAAATAATGCATTACTAGGAAATAAGTAGGACTCTTAAGTATCATTTTGGAAAGCAGGTGGAGAAAACACACAAACTGGAAGAAGTGCATACTATTTTTTATCTTTTATGTAGGACCTGCTCCCTTTGGTTCCAGTTGGGTAAAGCACTATTGTACTTATAGGAAAGAGACAAAGAAGTTCACCATGATCCCATTTGAACACAGATCAGGAGGGAAAGTTGTAAGTATATTTTTATACTCTAGTCTTACACTCACCCTGTATCAAGATCAGAGGATGTATCAGATGTGTCCAGCACTTTCCTTCTCTACCTCCTTGACCCTTTTTTCTTCTTTCTTCAAGCAATTCAGCCTGCCATGTAAGGACATTAACCTAAAGTAGTGGATGGATTAATAGATAAGAATTCTGCAGGCTTTTCAGTTGCTTGCTTTTAGAAGACCTGAGAATATGGTACAGATAACATGCAGTGTTTCACCATTTAGAATCTGGTTTATCTGTGAGGGAATAACTAGTTAAAATATAAATCAGGAAAATATAATAGACTTAAAAATTCTTTCTTACATGCTCCAGTCAGATTTTTCTTTCAGAGATGTAAGTACTAGAAGAGGGACTAGAAAAGAGGATTTTAATAGGAATATAATTTGTACTGACAACTGAATGTAATTTCAGATATCTCTGATAGCATCTGAAATATTCAAGACCCAAGACTCTGTTGATCTTTAAATGGCTTTAATTCCTATTGAAATAGTTGGGAATTGAGGGCACTCAGCGCTTTCAGAGATGACGCATTAAATGAACGCATTAATATGGATGAAATGCATTTTGTTGCAAGGAAAAAGGAAATCTGAAGCTGGAAAATAATGCTTGAGTCAATATTCCTGTAGATGCAGCACCCTGCCCTATCTTCAAATTTGGTTAGAAAATCACATTGTTGGAATTTTATCAGGGTATTATATCCCATTAGTTTGATCAGAGGGGAGATGGCTTCCATAATTTTGAGGGCTGTGTATATTTACAAATATATTGAATTTGGAAGAATCTTTCAAAAGCTCTGGAAAACCTGCCATATGGAAAATTAGTGGCATTTGGCTTCCTTAATCATTTCAGTACTTCTATGAATTTTTTATCATGATTTACTCTAATTGTAATAAGCCATTTTAGTTGATATAGTATGTGTGTAAGCATTTGGCATTCTAAAACACTTATGAAGCCATTTTTGCTGTATTAAAAGATCACCCATTTTGAAACCCACAATGCAATTACTCCCTCAGTGACAACCTCCTGTGTCTGGAGATGTTGAATAAGACAAGAAATAATTAAAATGTACAGTTAATCCTGATTAAATCTTGTACAACACATGCAGCATTCACAGATGAGTTTATTTGATTTCTGAATACGTAAGGGTAAAATATGATCGTAGTGTTGGTGGGTCTTGAAGAAAGGACTGGTTCTGTAAGACAAATTACAGATAGTAAAGAACACTTAGTTTGTTCTAGGTACTGTAGCAATAGCATTTACTATGGAAATCATAGTGTCTGACTTAAAATGGGAGAAGAATGTTACACTCATTGTGTGCTTATAGTATAACATGCAAAATCTTTATGGCAAAATACATTCGTTAGTTTAAATTACTGTGGTACTGTGGCATGCTGTAAAGTACCAGCTATAAAATAGACTCAATATTTCTGCATTTATGTCCTGTAAATGACATAAATGGAATTTATGTGCTATTATGTAGACACCTAAACAACAACCATGAGAAAATTCTTTTCCTAGTGTCAGTTTTCAGTATAGTTTTTGTCATTATTTTAATGTCAATTAACCTTACTTGGTTTGTATAGCTGGCTCACTGAAGTTTTCTATTACTGGGTCAAGCATATAAGAACTTTCTTTTCACAGGGTGATGAGGAACTCTTCGTCCTTACGTATTGTACCAAAAGAAATATAGATACTATAGACAGGCGATTCTGTTTTGATTTAGAAGCTTCAGACAGGTAAGTTTGTGAAACACACTAGAAAGGACTCTTTCTAAGTAGTAGTTAACATTACAGTAATATTACTGTTCTGTTTTCTTCTTATTTTTTCAATGCTCGTTTAGATTGCCAATGGGAAATAATTGCTGGAGGAGCAGGCAAACACTGCAGTGACTCACTGGATTTTTAGCTCAGTTGTGTGTAGCAGAAGCAGGGAGGATCTAAATTGAGATGTAGACATTGTCTGAGATCACATAAAAGAAAATAATAGAAAAAGTTAGGGAAACTATTATGAATTGCTGTTATTCTAGTGAAGAAACGTGGCTTAAATTGAAATACATATAGCTATACTGAAAGACTGTGATCACGGTAATAATTCATACAGTCATGACCATATTGTATCACAAGTCTGCTTTCCAAAATGACATGTTGCTGAGGGTTTATGTTGGATTCTCAGATTGTAAATAAGATCATGGGGATTTTAAGGCTTTTTGTGGCTGAGATAATCGTCTAGTGCATCTTGAACATTGTTGCCACTGCCTTTTTGAAACGCCACAATTTTGTTGCTTTGTTTCAAAAGAGAAGAATTGCTTATTTATTTCACTAAAAGGATCTTAAAATATGATAAATATTGCTTTTTGTCAGCATTATATTCTTCCTTCATTTATGAAGGTGGAAGAATCCAATTTAATAGGGTACCGCAAATAAGCACAGCTGTGGTAGTGCCATGTTCTTTTGGTGCAGATTGTATCTGTGTAGAACAACATCGTATCTAGCATTAAATACAAGGTATAAATTAGCGGACTGTTGCTGAGTTTTTGTCATCTACCCCTTCTAAGCTGTTCTTAACCAATTACATTTGCTTCTTACTTTCGCCAGTTGATTGCATTCTAATTTATCATGTAGCAGGTCTTCAGGTTTTCTAGGTGGCTGGTTTTTTTTTGATCAAATGCACAGTGACCTTAACTTTAAAGGCAGCGTGTCCAATGCAGTCAGGCCCCTCTGTCCTACGGTTGCTAGTGGTCTGCAGATCTATCTATGATAAGGATCACGTGCACTGCCTTAGTCAGAGGCTGTGCCTGGCTTGCATGGCCAGTCAGACTGGCCTGGCTGAGGCACGCCTGTTTCTGCAACAAGCAACAGGTAAAGGCATGCGAAGCTACCGCTGCATCTGAAAACTTCCAGCTCCCATGGCAGATGACAAGATCCTAACTGACAGCTCGGGTGGCATTTGTCACAAGTCTACAGCATGGTTTGAACTTGCGTTTTTGATTTGAGGAGGATGTGGCTTAACTATTCTAACCCTGTGTCTCAGCAGTAGGAAATGAAGTAAAGATGTAAACTCTTGACATCGGCTCCTCTTGGGTCACTGTATTGGTCAGTAGGAATAACAGAATTCAAGCTGAGTCTGATAAAAGTGCTAAAAAAGTACCGTGAGAAATGTCAGTCTATCCCCCTCTGCGTGTCATCTCTGCTCAGTAGGGTATCTGGAGTTTGAACAGAGATGGATGGAGAACAGTGTTTCCTTGATCTTGCAAAACATTTTTTCATTCTCTTCTCTGGTAAAAGTGGCAAAAATCTAATCCATCTTTCTGTCCAGATATAATAGACACAACTGGTCCATTGTGACCTTGATATCAGACATTTTTCTTTTAATAATATATGTGTGTAGTACTGAGATGTTCCCATGGAGATTAGTTCTGCGCTGCAGGCCATTAGCTTGTTTCCTTGGTATCAGTTCAGGGCACACTTATACCTCAGTTTGTCCAAGTTAAAAAATAACATACAGATTGACGGCTGGCCATGGGGTTTTCTTTGTTCCTGTGCTGCGGAAGGAGGCAAGGTGGTAAAATTTTAGGAAGGACTTTTCAGTCACAAACGTTCAGCCTCGTGCATGACTTTAGCATAGTTTGGAGCTAGTTGAATATGTATGGATTTTTCTTTTAAAGAGAAAACAGAGAAAAATATTTTTTCTTGAAATTCTGACACTTATGACTGTAAGCTCTGAGGGATCATGGCTAAATCTCTGAAAAGTGATGTTTTTTCTGTTTCTATTACTCCATCATGTTTAGCTGGAGGTGACTAGTGGTAAATGTAGAGAAATTTAAATCTTAAGGAGACAGCAGAGGTTTTTTGGGGTAGGAAAAAATCTTTCTGTTGATAAAGAGCTTCTGAAACACTGATACCAATACAAGACAAGGATGAGGGAAGGCTTTGTCTCTTGACTTTAATTTGAAGACAAATAATGTTCCATTCAGCATATACTGAGTTTGATGTATTGCCTCTAGGTGATACTCTTTGATACCTTGACAGTTATAATTTCAGTGAAAATAAGGAAAGTTTGCCCTTCATAAAAGTAACTCGTTTGGGTTTAGTTTTGACTGGTAAAAGAAAGTAGACAAGAAAAAAACAAATTGGCATTTGGTTTTTTTTTTAGTTGATTTGGCTGATGAGTTAGGGTATTTTTTTCTACCAAGTGAGTAAGTTTGCATGTTTTATGATGGTTGCAGCTCTATGCTACTATGACCAGCTTGCATTGAAAAAAGCTGGTATGGCTTGAGAAGCTGCTTTGCTTACTATTTTTACTAAGGCCAGTGTTAGCTTGTTCTAGTCATAAAGGTTATTAGTTGCAGAAATTAAGGAAAGGCTTCCTTCACCCACTCTAGAAGCTCAATGTCTGTCACTGAGAATAGTAAGAGATTCTATTTTTATGGCTTAATAGTCTGCTCACTTTCATCAAAAGAGAGTGAATTGCTTGATTGCTGCCATTTTGCCAAGTTACAGTGGGTTTCCCGAGTTTAGATTGGTTTGCTAGAGGGTGTGTGCATGCCTTGTCCTCGCATGTCTGAAGAGAGATTGGAACAGGAGGTATTTGTTCCTATAGAGTTTTACGCTGCAATTAAATTGTGTGGTTTGATAAAATTTGTGGCAAGTTGAAAATGAACTAGAAATGTCTCTAGTTGTAAAAATATGAACATGGTATGTAGACTGTTACGGTTTTAAGTAAAACTGGGATTTGTGCTGGTTTTCTCTCTGCTGTTGTTTTTAGATAACATTTTCCCCTACAGCTATTTTGCTACTTGAAGATAGATGTAGTACAAAAGAGAGAGAGAGAATGTTATGAATTTGTTCTCTGTTTCTATCCATCTCTATATAATGAGATTTACAAATTTGCCAGAAGTATTGATAGGGTGAATATAATGATTCTTTTTAATTGGCATAAAAATAATTACCCAAATAACCTGTTCTGCTTTTAACTCTTCTTGCTGAACCACACAATTACTCTTTTTAGTTTCCTATTATATAAACGCAAAAGTAGATTTATGTTAATCTTTGTTCACTAATCCCTGTGTCCCGTAGTCCTTGCTTTTTGGGAAAGTTATAATAGTGGAGTTCTGTAATGAGATACTGCCTTAAAACTTAATTATTTTTTATAAGTTATTTACTGGAAAGCTACCATCATTGTCACTGCTCTAAATCTGGACACTACACATCGAATATGTTGACAAAAGACATTTTTTATGTAACAGCGCAGCAATGCAAGAGCAAGTTTATTTAGATTGCAGAGAACTCAGTAACTCCCAGCAAATGTTGGAAACAACAAGCTAACAACAGTGAGCTATTGCAGATAAATAGTTTGCAGGTTACATTCGCTTTCCTTTTTCCACCCTATCCTCCCTATTTCCTACTGCTTGTATCAGTTCTACATCTGTTATTTTAAAGATGAACAGTGTTCAGTGATTAAGCAAAAAAAGCAACCCTGACTTTTAGGACAATGGGCATTTGCTTGTAGTTGGAGACAAAACTTAACAAGACTTTTTAGTTGCTGGTAAATGCAGTTACTCTGTGTGGTTGGTACATTTGCAGGCCTGGAGTTCCTGTGACCATGCAGGCGTTTTCTGAGGAAGACAGGAAGCTGTGGATGGAAGCGTTGGATGGGAAAGAAGCTGTAAGCATATTTTTTTTTTTTTTTTATGTTCATTTACAGTGTAATGGAGAAATTCTGTCACCCTCTGCTTCCCGATCCCATTTATGCTTTAATAAACTGGGATTATGTAGTTTGCAAAATGATAGATTCAATGAAGAAAGAATAAAAAAGAAATAAAACTCAGGAGAGAGGAGTAACTCGGTAAAGCTCAGCGTAGATAACTGCTAATGTTGATATGGGATTATTTCATTGTAATGACAGCATTGATTTTTATAAATGCTTTTCCATCACGGTGGTGTTATTGGTACTCTAGAAAATGTCTAGTTATAAGGATGTCCACCTAGCCTTATGCTGATACACTGCATTCCAGTGGCAAGACTTGCATGAATTAGTTACATGGGTATTATTATAATATATATATTTTTAAAACTAGATAAAAAAAATCCTTGTCAATAGCAGTGAAGTTGTACTTGAATTTGCTGAATTTCTGGTTCACATCCGGAAATGGTTCTGAACTGCAGAATTAAAACACTCTGCAGATTGTTCTTACAATCGTTAATATTATATTGGTTTTGTGGACCAAAAATTATGAGGTTTTTTAGTCAATGACACAATCATGTGTCTGTCCCCAGTAGTTGGCTACTGGGGATTTTAGCAGTAGGTTCATGATTGTTGTAGAAATATTGTTTCATCTGCAGAGGTGTTTATTACCATCATATGTTGTCTGGGCTAGACTCCTCAGTAAGCTTACAACTTCTGGCAGCGCTGAGCTGGGACATTACTTCCAGGGTTTATCAAAGCAATTCAGGATGATCTGAGTGAACTTGAACTGTGGAAAATTAACTTGCAGAGGAACATGGAACATGCAAACCATAGTTCATTTCAGTGGCTATAACCAACATTATTCAGCTCCCCAAGGAACCGTATTTGTTGAGAACTTTTAAAAAATTTCACTCCTTGAAAAGTCCAATTATCTACTTTCTGAGGGGGTACAGACCTCTGGTCCTACGGTTAGAGCTATTGTAGTTAGAGGTGATATATTCTAGCTGTAAACAGCTGCATTTGTGCCTACTGGGCATTAAGATTGGGGGTGTCCTGTTTCTGTTTTCATAAAATTCTTTAAAATAATTTGTCTTTTTTATTCTTTTTGTGTTAGCTGTTCATCAATTTGAATAGAGCAAATGCAAAACGAGAGGGAAGTAAGTATTTGAATTACTATTAAAGCTGATTTTTGTTAATGTTTTACAATTGAGAAAGGCAAAGGTAAATCTTTTTCTGTGGATCCAATGTAATTAAAGATTTTATTTTAAATCTTGAGTTCTGAATATACTTTGTGGATTTTGTAATTAATGGGTTTTCACAATAATGCAGTTTAGTACATACGTAAGAATCGTAAAACTGGACATAAACTAGAGAAACGGTCTGATAGTTTTTGCCAGTTTACTTCATGCTTGAAAATGACTCAAAAAAGGGTTAATTGGTATGTAAATGCATCACAATTTCTTAATCCAGATTGTGGGTACACATCTGTTAGAATGCATAAGTATGTTTTAAAAGCAATCACAGCTGAACATAAAGGTCAGCAAAAAGACTGAATTGATATATTTAAAATGTAAACTATAATGCAGAAGTAGAAGAAATGGCTTTCTTTAAATGATGTTAGCTTTCTTCTGTTAGCAAAGCATATGAGTGAAAATAGTTATCCTTCTTTATCCTTCTTGCATTATCAGGCATTTTATGTCTTTTTTTTTTTTTTTAATTTTATTAAATTGTTGGTTAAAGCTGGATCCTGGTGTTATTAACAGAAGATTTTCCACAGATTTTTATTTTCATGGTGCAAGACCGGGTCCCCGGGAGCAAGAAGGCCAGATGTTTGGGGGAAAGGCAATTCTGCAATGTATGCTTTTAAATGAAGTTTTGATGTGAAAAAAATAATAAGATAGGAACAACAAAGGAATGCTGGATCTCAGCTGTTGTCCTGTTAATGCATCTGCTTTTATGTAGTCAGATCATTAACTGCTGTGAAATGATATACATGTATCCTGTATCTTTAGCGTGGGAATTTCTTTGGCTTAGGGTACGACTCAGTAAAAGCCCTGCTGTTGATGATTATGTTTTTTCATCATAAGCACTTCCTTGTTCCATTTGGTTAACTCACTCAGATGTTGTCGATGTTGCAGTAAGTACTGTTAAATTCCATTTTGCATCTGCCAACATATGTACCTAATCAGAGATCCCATTCTTCAAAGGCTGCTGCTGTGAACAGATTCAGTGAAGCCACTACCACCAGAATGAGACTTTACTTGGTCTAGGCAGGGTTGTGAAGGATAAAACAGGAGTTTCTCTAGAAAAAGTGATGAAGTATTCCAGTTCCAGAGTATTTATAGTCTTGCCTGAGAAGTGTGATTAAGTCTAGCCTTATTTTTCAGTGAAAGACATAATTGAAATGGTGCTTTAAAACTTTTCAAACTTTTTTTTTCCTTGTAGGTGCACAGTTGGATAAGATAGGGTTCACTGTCATCAAAAAGTGCATCAGTGCTGTTGAAACACGAGGTAATGATCAGCTTAATCTGTTTTTGGAGGGGATGGAGCAGCTGGTCTGCTCTTCGAAGGTGTCCCACGTGTTCTAGTCTCCTGTAGATCTCTGGGAAAGACTTAATACAGTAGATACTACACTGATGACACTGACCAGGGCAGGAGCTTCCTTCTGTCTGGTCCCAGCCTTTTATGTATAGCTTTCCCTCAAGAAATATGTTTTCAACAGTTGCTCAGAAGGGGGTAATAGCACCTCTCTTGACAAATGAAGCCAATGTTTGTGTGCAACAGCTGAGAAAAAAACCTGCATCTTGTAGACAATTCCTGTACCTTTGCTTTGGTGTTGGAACAGGCTAACTAATTTTAGTATTCCACTTGTGGACCTCGAGTGGAGGTTTTCTGTTTAGGTGCTTAAGCCAAGAACAGGAGCTGAGCAGGCAAGTGAATAACAAAAAGTACTGGAATACATCTGGTGGAGTTAGTCTTACACCAGAGACAAGGATGCTGTCGGGCTTACTGTTCCATATACTCATTGTACCTCCAAAATTGGAAACAGAAAGGTTAATATGCTGACAGTATTCAAGAGGTAGTTGGGATTATGGTTGTGGAGAGGCTCTGTGTCACAGACCCCGTGTAACTTGGATAATACCAGCTTTTGATATTGCTGCCCTATGAGGAAACAAGAATCCGTGTATGGACATGCTGAAATGTGAGGTGACCAGCTGCTCTGAGGCTCACTGCATTGTATACGGTATTGTGTGGAGAACTTTGTTTTTCTCCTAAACTGTTGACCTTCCTTCCTGCTTTCAAAGGGAAGATTTAGGATTTTTCATGAAATCTATAATTTTTTTTCTAGAGATTTAGCGTTACTCAGGGCAGAGTATTTATCTATCTTTGTATGACAGTCCAGCTTAAATAAGATGGCTGAACAGAAGAATGGGTTGGTCATGGTTCCTGTCAACACAGGGTCTTATTTAAAAGCAGTGTCTTCCATGTATGCACTTACCATACAATATTATTAGTAAGACCGAGCAGCCTTTGTGATACTGAGAATTTAGCCTTTAAACAGCAAGTAGTGTCTGAAATCCTTTTTCTTTTGGACTTTTTTGTATTAGTCCTGTCTGCATTAAAGATGTTATTCCAGATTAGACCATATTCTGTCTGGTGCTATTTTTGCTTATGCTGTTCTTTTGAATATTTTTCTAATAAAGTTTGCCTGTCTCATCACTTTAAAAAATCTCAGTTACTGGCATTTACAATCCGAACATTTCACTTAGGAAACACTGCAGATAAAGCTGGCATCCTATAGATAAGTTGCCTTCACTGCAAAACTCTACTTTGATATAGAATGGATCTTCTCTTTGCACTGGATGAGGCAGATTTTATGAAAAGGGTGATATGTGTTTATGTAATGAAAGTCTGGTTTTTGGTCTGGAACACAGTGACTGATTACCTTACAATACTTCATGAACCATGTTTACTCTAAGCCGTGTGGAGTATGCTGTGTTTTCATTTATTATCTATAGGTGCATTCAAATAGTTTTCTTCAGGTAGTCATTTTTTTTTTTTTTTCCTTTGATATCCTGCAAGGAAAGTGAAGCAAGAACATAACTGTGGAAAAAGTGTGAACACTGTCTTCATGAAGTGGCTGTTTGGAAAAATGGGTTAGATAAGGGTTTTTTTTTCATGCCTGTGGGTGGACAGGTAAAACTCAGTGGTAGTTCAAGTCCACTCTGTTCTTGATGCCTTGATTTAGGGGCGTGTAAGAAGGTGCAAAATATATGTGTAACCCCACCTAATACTGTTGTTCAAGATGAAGGATAAGCTTGCATAGATTAGAAGTGTGTGGCCCTGTGGTAGGATCTACCCTGAAGCATACATGGAAGGGAAGGGAAGTTAACAAAGGTAGCTGCAGTATTTCCTGTCTTTGGAGAGCTTGCAGCTTCGCTGTCCCTTGTACACAGCCTTTGTAAGACCTGCAGTCAATAGAGAGCTTGATGTTAATTAATACCATTGAAAATGACTTCTATTAATTTTGTTTTGGGAAGTACTTAAAAAAAAATAAAAATCAGTATTCGATAACTATTTATTTTCCCAGGGTTTCAAGAATGTGTTTTGGTGAGGTACTATATTGCGGGAACTCAGCAGTGCACCTAGCTCTGTTTCAATTAAATTAATTTGTCCACTGCTTTTCAATCAGTTGTTGATGATTTTCTGTTTATCTATCCTGAACATCAACTGCTTTAAAAAAAAAAAAAAAACGACCAAAACAAAACAGTCTAGCAAACAAAATCCCAACTTCATCCATGAGACTGAAGCATTCCTAAAGGATAAGTTTCTGTTTTCTTCAGAACTTGCAGGACCACCTGCTGATGTCTGCCGAGCTAAACAAATGGAGGGCCAGGAGAACAAGCGTTCAGTTGTTTGCCTCTGAAGGGTTTGGCCAAATAGTTGTATGATGAAGAAAATCCATCTTTCAGGCTGCAGATTTTATGCCTATTCTTGTTCTTGAAACAATTTTTACTTGATTATTTTACTTTAATGATAACACATCAAGGCAAGTTATGTTCGGCAGAAGAAAACAGGACAGATGCCTCTTCAGAGACTGTGCTTGTGTGCCATGTTTTTATCTCTTTTAATCATAATGGGTGTGAGGTTGGCGTGGGTGGAAAGAGAGGACAGTCTAGTGTGGGTGGAAACTGAGAATAGTCTTGTCATGTCATAGCAAAAAAAGTCTGGTATTCAGAGAGAGAAGAGCATAACAGAGATATTGAACATAAACTTGTCAATGGCTGGATAATTTTTTCTCGGTTATGTTCCCTTTTATAAAGCCAGGAAGGAAATTATTTGCTCTGAATGAATAGAAGAATCAAAGGCAGTGTCTTGGTTAAAATGCATGTAAGCTTCTGACTCAGCGTTGCCTTATAAGACATTGGCTGTGCTTTACCTGGTAGGAGACGCTGAGGCATCAAGATATGCAGCCTGTCTCTCACATACTGAGCATGGTGCTGGTTGGATGTGCACCCGTGTTTTCTCTCTGAGAGAACATTTTGGGATTCTCTTTTGGAGTATTTTATTTATAATTCTGTACTGAAAATAATACAACGGGGTAAAAGTTTATAGAAACATCAAAGAGCTGTTTCCTCCAGTAGTAAAGACTCTGCGCATGTTTTTGTGTGCAAGTAGTTGGTTGTACCTTCTGTGAGGATGTGGTAGGTGTTTGCCAGAACAGTGTTTGCCTAGATTTTGGAACTGCCGGAGCTGCTAATCTCAGCTGCAGAGAGAGATGGCAGCATTGAGCTGTCTGGCCGGTCTGTCTGCTCTTGAGAAAGAACGAAGATGGTGAGGAGGAAGTAGAAAACCTTTTCACGTAGCAGAAAAAAATCTGGCATTACCTTGAATTTAGAATGTCACTTGTATGGCTGTTTCTGTACTGTGGAGTTTTATATAAAAAGTTGTATTTGCAGCTATATTACTAGTCTGTGTCAGCCACATGTACAATGCCAGCCACAAAATAAACTTGCCTACATACCTTGCTTACAATAGTATAAATTACTGTTTTACTTACAATACCTTATTTTTCTAAACATGTTTCACAAATTGTGTACCTGTGCCAAATTCGGATATCAGACAGCCAAACATCTTGACATAATGTAAATATGAAGGAAATTATGCTGAGGGGCTTTACCGCTCAAGTTGCCAATAGTGACTGGTTGAGCCAGCAGACACAGTGTCTGAACCCTTCAACGTTTTAGTCAGTGGTAAGCGATTCCTTGCAGTGAGTCATCTTGTCAATTGTGTTCTGTAAATGCCAAGTATTATCAGTCTTGGATGTGCTGAAGGTCTGAAATGTGCAGATTAAATCAGAAATAGTACTGTTTCAAACCAGGTTTGTATATTTTAAATAAAACATCATTTAAAGGTATGTTTAAAGGTATCATTTAAAACTGTTGAAATGTTAATTTCCCTTTGCACTTCTTGATGTCTGCTAGCAATTAGCTGTGCTTTTTTCAGGTTGATGAATTTGAAACTGATCAATTATCTGATAATTACTATCACAGACTCATGCTTATTGCTGGAGGATTGTCTTAGTTTCAATACTGCCATAATTTCAGAGACTTCTGCATATCGTGTCTGTTTTAATATCAAGCAGTAGTTTCTGTGGTTTGACCTTACTCGTGAATGTACGGTTGGGGTCAACACAGTTTGGTTCCCCCCTAGTTTTAATGTTAGAAGCACAGGAAGTCACGGAACAATTTCTGAGATAAGCAAAAGCTGAGCTGTATTTGACTGTGACAGTATTTCTTCAGCTTTTTGGCTTCTTGCTTGCAGAAGGCTTGTTCTGTGGTACTAAAAGTAGTGGAGGACATTGGATAAAAAAAGTGTGATGCATTTTGGCAGAGCATTGAAAAGCTTGGTGTTACTTTTGTACCAGAATTTTCCTGGACACCTCTGAGAAATATGAAGTGAAAAATAATTGCTGCTCTCAGGACAGATTCCTAGTGCATCCTTCTTTGGAGTGAATCAAGGACTATGTTTGGTGGTTTGGTTGTTTTTTTTTTTTTTTAGTGTTGGCAGTCTTTAAGTGGTATATAGCATGCTATCACACTGTTGTTCTGAGGATCACTGGAAAACTTACTTGGTTGGGTTGATAACTTCGTATTTTGAGAAGAATAGTATTGTGGCCACATAGCTGTTTTTTTGCGGTTCTTTCTTTTGCACACAGCTAAACTGTGAGCATACTCTAGAGTAGTTTTTTTTTTGACCACAGATGAAATACTGGAGATCTGTCTTATTCTGTTAATTTGAGCCAGCTCTGAACATGACTTCTAGTTCAACACTTGGCATCATTACAGTGGTGCCTGCATCCTGGGGAGAGAAAAGAGCCAGTTTTGCCCAGGTGGAGCAACCAAGAGAAGTAGCAGCTGCTGCCATAGCCCATCAGCTCCCTGCTGGGACAGAGGATGGAGCAGTGTTAGCAGGGAGGAGTTCAGCAGGCTCTCAAAGATCTGGAGTGTCTGAGGAGGTTGCAGACTGTGTGAGGGAGAGAAGGAAAAGATGTAGCGAGGCTAGGCAGGAGGAGGAGGAGGTAGAAAATGCAAAGTTCTCTTCACCATATTGAGAATTATTGCTGTGTATTATGGTTGTGTCTGACAGTAATTCATTAAAAGGCTAATGATTTTTACATACTTCATCTAATATTTATTTGGGAAGAAACTTCTTCTCATATGACTGGTTTTAATTTCCCTTCTCTGGGTTGGAACGGTTTGGTATTGAAACTAGGAATTCTCTACAAGTCTCCCTTTGTTGAAGGATACTTTGAATAAGAGTACCACATAATCTGTTATTTGAAAAGATTTCCTTGGAGTAGAAGCACAGGTATTTTGTGGTGTTTCTACTCTTCCAGGCCGATGTGAATATAGAGGTAGTGTTTGGTGGTGTTTGTAGAATGCTGCTTATTATGTGACCTCTCAAACATCTGTGTCAGCTTCAGGACTGTAATATTTTACCTCCCACTAGATGGGCTCTGGAACAATGCAGCAGACAAAGACATACCTTTTTTTGCCCTTTTTCTTCCCTGCCCCTTCTCTCCCTCCCATTTTCCTTCAATTTATATTCATAGTTTTATTTCCCTGGGGATAAAAGTGGGTGTGGTAAAGGAAGGCAAAAGCAGGGGAAGAAAAGGGGGAGAGAAATGGATGTGTGCAAGAGGATGGAAGGGCACAAAGGAATGACAGACGAGTGGTCCAGTGTCCACATGAAATGAGAGTAGGGGACTGAAAATATGCCAGTTATGGCTACTCTATTCATCCCAAGCAAAACGAGAAGTACTGATTTCAGTAACCTGTGGTGGTGCCTCTGAATGTAACTACCATGTGGACCACAGTGGGTTGGAATGAGGCCTCGTATCTTAAATGAAAAGCATTTACAAACTTGAAGAAGCATTGGTTTTGAGGACTGGGAATAGGCTCAAGTTTTTCTTTATTTTATCCAACTCTTTTTGTGAGCCACATATTTGGAAAAAAGCAAAATTACATTTATTAAAGAATTCTTAATTTAGCATTTGTTGGTTCAGTTCTTGTGTTATTAGAATGTGGATGCTGATGTATCCAAAATGTCATTTAAAAATCTGAAAACAGCCAGCAATTTTATTTTATTTTATTGTTTTCAATCAAAGGTTTGTCCCTCTTTGCTTCTCCTCCCTGTTTCTGAAGTAGAATAGAGGTACATGAAACCTTTATCACAGCATAACATGAACTTAACTTAAAAACATAGAAGAAAAGGATTCTTGCAATACTTTATTTATAGTGTTCTCACAACTGTGTTAATACTACGTAGTCTGTTTGTCCTTGAGGAGAATTTGTTGCCAGGGGAAAAGTTTTAATGCTAAATTTGACTGTGGTTGATCTTCTGCCTTTTTTTTTTCTCTTTTGCATCATAGGTATAAATGACCAAGGATTGTACAGAGTTGTGGGGGTGAGTTCAAAGGTCCAGAGACTTCTGAGTTTGTTGATGGGTATGCCTCTTTTACAATAATTTTTTCAATATTTTAATTTATGTTGTTCTACTGTCAATATTTAGTTTTAAAAGCATCTGCCTGGAGTTGTCCTTTATATGGGCCAAGTCTAGTTTGTTTTAATCTGTGTAAATAATCTCCATATCATTGTAAATTCCCCTTATTTAGCAAGACCAAGATTAGTTGGTAGGAATAAACTAAGAGAACTGCTATGGGATATGTAGGAGCAAATTGAGTTTTGTGCAGGGTTGATGTAGGGGAGATTAAGCGGCCTAAAATGAAGGGTCTGATCAGAAAATTCAAAATACCAAAAATAAGAAAGTTTGAAGCTTATTGCTTCATTCCTTAAAGTTTCCACATTTCTTCTCCCTTGTTTAAGATGTACAGGTGTACACACCCATGCCTGCCTTGAGTTAATCACTGAGCAAAATAAGAAAGACATTTAGTTTAAGCCTACTGGCAAGAAGCTCTTTGGTTTAAGAGGACGAATATGATATACGTATTAATAATACCTATGTGCCAAGGTGGGAGACAGATGGAGAAAGAATTTGTTTTCATAAACTTAATAGTATAGCTCCTATATGCGGGTAACATCTTAGACTCTTTTATACCTAGTTAGCCATGTATAGCTTCTAAGATTTTTTTTGATTCATAGAATTATTCTCAGAAACTTTTCTCCCCCTTTTTTTTCTGGAAGTTTTGATGCATCTTTAATCCCAGTTCTCTTGCCTCTCTGCTATCCCCAGGGGAAAAAAAAAAAAAAAAAAAAGGTAGCAGTATTGGCACCTGGATGAAGTCCCTTGTCTGCCTGATATCTCTCACCAGAGTAGTAGCCATGACTGCAAGATGTGCCGTGTTTCCCAATTTCTTGTCCTGAGCACTGACAGTACATGCAGTCAGACAAGACCACTGGGATTAGTTCATTTTTATAGAGCTTCCAAACCTGTCACTTGACAGCAAAGGTCTGATTCTCAGGGATTCATTGGTATGCAAAGAAGCTTGTTTGCAGTTTGCACCAGGCTCTTCTCCAGAACCATGCATGCTCCATCTGTGCTGATAACACAGTGTTCTTTGGCACTGCAAACTGGAGGAAGCCAGAAAGTGAATTCATTTCATTACCCCAGACATTATGTGAATGACAAAGCGCTTTTATATTATATGCTGCTGTCAGTTCAGTGCCACCTGTAAGACTTTTTCTTTTCCTTCCTTTATTTTTTCAAACAGGCTGTCTCTTCAGAGATGATAAGACATCAGGCTTGAGGACCTGCATGTCATATCAATCTGTCATAATGACCTTGCTAAATATTAATTTATGATGTCTTGCTTTAATCAATATTAACAGCACCCTGAAGTTCTCCATTAGTGCACATAAACCTGACTGTATCTTTGAAGTATTGTAGCAAAACACTGTTTTTGGAAATACGACCTGGGATTAATAAAAATGACTGATCTATAACAGATTCTCATCGTTGTTTATCTGTGTTGGAGTTAGCCTCAGTAAACAATAGCCATCGTTAGCCATTGACCATAGGAAGGGTGACGTGTTATCACTCAGTCTCGATTAAATGCATTTGATATCATAAGATGTTTTTCAGTTTTGTACTTACTGTCTTAGCTTGGGTGTGCAGGTCTGGCAGGCAAATTTTCCTCTTTGCCATTAGTGGTATCCAAATTAAATACACTCAGGTTGCCAGTGGTTCAGTAGCAGCTGGAAGAGTTTACTGGGGATTCCAGCATCTGCTTTAAGTTATTTGTTTTAAATTAGAAACATTTTTTGTCATTCCCAAGATTCATATATTTATTTGAAGTAAGAAGAATACAGTGGTATCAAGATGAGGCAAAATACCGAACAGAAAAAAGTTAGGGTGCAAGCAGGTGCTCTTTTTCTGGTGATTTGTTGAAAGTGATCCTGTCTGCGCTCTTTATCTGTCTGTCCTCGGAGAAGAATAAAGACGGTTTCTTTTTGATATACAGTGGTACAGAGAATTTAAAATGACTGATTAATCTTTAATCCTTTGTCTCTGGGTATACTCTTAGATACCCTTTTATATGAAAGATCTTTTCAGAATCATAAAATCCTCATATTAACTTTCTGTATTTTAAAATGTTTGATAAGATTTCAAAGTATTCTAAGCTACTTATCATTGACCATGAGGTTCACTGTCTGCAAGGCCCAAAGTGCAAAAAAAAGTCCTCCAAGTGGTAACCAGGTACACAATAGCATGTAGTTTTGTCCCTTTCAGAATATTTTGTATAAAATTTGGGAAAGTACATTGAGAGCCAAGAGGATATGAGGAGACCAATATATGCTTTTCTAATGCTAAGAATGCACAGATTTTCATTTTTAATGTACAAATCTAGTGAAACTGTCTTCTGTAAAATGAGGCTCAGCAATTAAATATACAATGCTGCTTTTTTTTTTTTTAAAAAGTTAATTTTGCAATTAACTTAGTCCTTGAAGTTACTTGTAACTAGTATTGTGGTATGGTGGTCTATTTTGCAGCAGTAATCTTGTCTTAATTTAAGTATTTGGTAAGGAAAACACTGCATCTCAAGGGAAAACGTTAAATTAATCTGATATCTCATTGTAAACAGGGATACAGAGTTAGGACTTCTAATGTTATGGGAATCTGTTATGAGCAATTCAGAGTGCATTGTCAGCTGTCAGGAGGCTCAGTTCTTGAAATGTGCCAAGGACCAATTGCTGTTTCATCTGTGATCTATGTTATAGATCTGATGTGGCTCATTTCATGCAACCTGCCTACACAGATTCATACAAACTGCTACCTAGGTCAGCTTTCATACAGACCCTTGCTCGTGGTGAAGTGGCTGCTGAGGACTCGGAGCTTCTACTGATGAGTTCAGTTTTGATTTCTGATACTGCCTGGTGTGAAAAATGCCAGACATTACATGTTGTAGAAGAAAACTTTTGAGTACCTCTGCCTTTTCAAAACCAGCAGCTTTCAAAACAATTACAATGAATTCCTTATCATTTTATATACAGTCAATGACAGTATGCATACACTCCTACAGTGGGCACATTGCATATGAAAGCAGAAAGAGTCTCCTCCTAACCTAGTTTAGTGAACTGGACTGTTTTTATAAACTCTAGCTCTCTTATTGTCAGAAAGATCTGCATAAAATTTAGAGCTGATCTGTCAAAAGCTGTTCCATAAATGTGCACGGTTATTTTTATATGCGTAAAGTTGCCATTCGGTGCACAGTGGCTGCTATGTGAACAAATAGCATGAAAATTAGTGGAGTCATTTTTGAAATCCCAGTTGAAGTTCCAGTTCATATAATGGCCTAGGATGTTTGAAGTAGAGGGAGAAATGAAGCAGGAACAGTCAAATATGGGGCACAGAGCTATGTAGGGCAACTGTCAGACCGAAAGTGCAAAAAATTACTTGATGGCTTCTAAAGTCAAACTAGGGATTATTAGGGGTTGGTAACAGGGCCAAATTTCGTTGCATGTTTGTTTTTTTTTGTTTTTTTTTTTTTTTTTGTTTGTTTGTTTTTGTTTTTTTTTTTTTTTTTTTGTTTTTTTGTGTTTTTTTTTTTTTTTTTTTCCCAAGAGATAATGAAATATTTCAGCAATACTTTCTATTTTTTATTTTAAGAGACTTTGGAATTAATGATGCTTGTTATTTTCCTCCCCAAATTCATCAACAAATTTCACATAACCGAGTGCATCCTTTGACTATAAAGGAGGTTGATGGTTATGAAGCAGTTATTTAAAAACTGGATACTACATAGTGGTTTAGTAAGAAAATCCCCATAGATTTAACTGGTTTCTGGTGTGATGGCAGTTTTTATTTAATTTATTCAGTAGAAAGTTTTTCTTCTCAAAAAGGAAAATTTGAACACAGAAACAGCTAGCATGCTAAAAAGAAGAAAAAATAAACTTTTTCCTGAGACAATCTTGAGTCTTTTGGGTGGTGGTTGGCTAGTAACAATTTGGTAGAAAATGTTATCTGACTTGTATTTTTAAATGAGATTTAAATAATTGATATAATGAGGGAGAATATTCAGTTACAGAAATAATTGCTTGGCACAGCCTTTAGAACAGAATTATTTAGTCCCAGTAAAAGGACTGCACCTTTAATCAGGGGATCCTAATTTGATTTTTTAAATGTGTCTGTCGTTTGTCTGACAAGCAGAGTAACAAATGAATTCTGAATTGTATGAACTGGTCAACACGTAATCTGTGTCAGCTACTGCAGTAGTTTACTGTAGTGACTGCTGGAAACATGGAGCGATAATAACAACAGAAGCTCAGGCACTTGAAGTTACCAAATACATTGGGCTAGTTCGGCCATTTACGTGTGATCTTCTTGTGTCAACTAGCTATTGCTTCCTGTTTTGAGACCAAAAGGGGTTTTTTGATTGCAAAACATTCCAGGGTGCCATGTTGTTTTCTATGTTCTGTCAAAAAATCTTTCACCTGATGGGTCATTCAGACATGCAACCATTCAGTTTGATCTGTCTTTTTATAAGACTGTACCAGCTAAACTGGGAAAAGATAGGAGGAGTTCAGTGAACCTGACAAATGGTTGAGCAAGCAAGTATTTTTTTCCCTTTGGCTAAAACTGATCAAGTAAGGGAGACATTCAGGCTATCTTGTGGAGGAAACTTACTGATGGAGTCCTTTTTCTACTTCTGAAGCACCTCTAAGTTTTTCACACAGTAAGAAGGGTCATGCTGCACTTTGGCTGTTTTCATGAGCAGTCCAATATAACAGTTTGCAAGCAAAACTATGGAAAGAATTTGAAAAGATTTCTCAGTGTACTTGCATTTTATACAATGAAAGAAAAGAAGAAAAGATAAGTTATGCTTGGTGTGTCTTTTTTCTAAACTGTTTTTGTACATTTTTCTGTGTTTGTGTACCTTTTTCTATTTAATTAAAGGTGTGAAAATACCAATTGCTATAGAGATCTTTTTACATGGAAGTGATTTTTAATCCTTAGTTAAAGAAAAAATCATCAGTAAATACTTTTAAAAACAAAATATGGAAATAGAATTGCTAAGGAGGTTTGGATATTAAGTCGTCTTAGCAGTAACTAATAGTAAGAAGGATATACTATTTCTACGTTCATGTGAACAAACACATAATGATCACGTTCAGGGCGTTGCTGTTCATGCAGGGCATACTGATTCAGAATTCCATTTTTCATGTCCCTCTTCTGTTTTTGATTATTTTTTAGATTCAAAAACCTGCAATGAAGTTGACCTGGAAAACTCTGTAGATTGGGAAGTTAAGACAATTACTAGTGCTATGAAGCAATATCTGCGGTAAGCCTATCTCATTTATTTATTTTTTTAAACTATGAATTCTCTATTCTAATTTGCCTGTGCAGTGTTTTAAGTTATATTACTTACTTTTTTCTATATTTTGGAATAGAGGTTAACTTTGTGCAAATACCATGTTTTGTTATATGTCTTGGGAAAAGCAAAATGATTTAGCAATGCTAATACACTTATATGAGACAAGCCCCACAACATTTTTGTGTTAGATACATGAGCATTTCACTGATGGTTCAGAAACCTGAATTGTTAGTAAACTTGCTGAGAGTCATTACTGAAAGTTATCTGAGATTGTTTAAAATTTTTTTGCCTTTTTGTGTTTTAATGTGGTAGAATGAAGAGGGAAAGGTTATGAAATTTGTAATATTTTCCTCTATTCTTTTTGGCTCTTGCTCTGATGTTCTAGGTGCAATAGTAATAATATTTTGAGTGTTAAACGTAAGAATTTTAGATGTGTTCTCTGTCCAAATGGCTTGGCTAATTCCTGATAAAGATGTTTTACCAAATTGCCTCAGAATATAGAAATTTTGTGTATGTCTCATAGTATAACACAAATACAGTATTTTTAATCTGTCAAGATAAAAGTCGCTCTTGTGCAGTGTAGGAAAGAATAATAAAAAAAAAAGGAAAGTCAAAAAAACCCTGCACATGATAAAATATTTCCCACCCATAGTATTTCACATCTGAGTGTTTACTACAATATTTCAGAAGCATCAGTAAAGTCAACTTAATAAATGAATGTTTTCCATTATTCATTACATTTTTCCTTGATGATTAAGGTTTTCAATTTAAATTTTTTTCATTTGATATGCTTTAGAATTTTGATTTGTGGATGGCTACTGATCAGCAAACTTAACTGTTTTAGGACCTTTATTTCTTTCCAGTAAGGCATTGACTTGTGATTCGTTGTACTTTAAAAACATTAATGAAGAGCTAATTACATAGTATATGTGTACAGTCTTCATCTGAGAAATGGTCTTGGTGTTGTAATTTTGGAAGGTGCCTTATGGAAGACTGGAGGCATCACTTCAGCTCATGGAAGGTGAACAGATGTATTTCATCTTATTTTCCTGATAATACCAAGCTTTCCATTCGTGCTGAAAATCACTGAATTCAAGGGCCACCATAACAATGGTTGCCTCCAGTGCAAGGATTATACTACTGAATGTTAAAAAGGTTTCCTGCTTAGAGTAAATACAGAGAGAAAAGAATATAGCTAAATTTATTATGTCATCCTTGTTTTACAGAAGCCTTCCAGAGCCACTGATGACATACGAGTTGCATGGAGAATTCATCATTCCTGCCAGTAAATATATATGAATCTAGTTCAAATAGAAATCTTTTCCTATAGTACTGTTGTGGCTTAGGAGCATACTGCAAATGCACTTTCAGAAAAATTGTTCAACTCAGTAAAAATACAGAAATAATAAATAATAAATGTTTTAAAAATACGTAGGTTTTAACCAGCGTTCGGTTCTAGTATGTGTCACATATGACATATCTATTGACAGACAAACTTGTGACAGACTTACCACAGTGCAATTTTTACTCTTATGGAAAAATTTTTGGATAGACGTGGTAAATATTCATTCTGATTATCTTAATTATATAGTCATAAACATCTACTTAGATTGTGATTTTTTTTTTTTCCCTTCCATTTATAAAGAGTATGAAGCTTAGTAAAAGGAAATACACTAGTTCAGGCTCATTTGAATCCTTAAAGCCCAGCTGCCTGACCCTTGTTTTCAGTGCCTTGTTAGCTCTGTATCCAGGCTGGCTTGAATGTTCCTCATCTATTAGGAGAAGAAAGGAAAGAGCAGGCCAGATTACACTATGGCAGTTCAAATACAGACTTGGAGAAGACACAACAGCATTTGTAGTTCAGCTGTATGGTATCTAATGTACATGGAATTTTTTGGAAGAGGATTGAGGGAAACTGTGTAAGAAAATTTTTGGCAAAGTATCAAACAGATATTTAGCTGGTTTTCTTTCCAGCCTGTAGCACTTCTGGCAAACCGTGGAAAGCAAAATTAAAATAAACTTTGAGACAATTGCTTTATCTTCTTTGGATTGCTGTAATGACTTTCCAGGACTGCAGAATGTGTTCATTTGTGGTCCTTAATTCAAAATGAGAATTAGCCCATGAAATTCATTGCGAAAGCACATCTTAGAGGCCAAATGCTTAAACAAAACTGAGCATACTTACCTAGATGGTGAGTCTGCCCATTTGTATTGGAAAGTGTTAAAATAATTTCTTGACCTATGAAGTTTTGCCAGCAGTTTCTTGCTTTATTTTCCTATCTCTATTTTATAGTGTCTTTCAATAATGGAATTGCGTTGAAGTTACATGTTTTAAATAGTACAGTGTTCATAAGTAGTAAACAGTTTTGCAGAGGGGTTGATTCTATGTAGTGGGGAGGGAAATTTAACCAACATTGTTGATCTAAGTTATGATATACTTGGAAATAGGTAGTCAGTGCTGTTTCTTATGTTGGTTATAAAAAACCCCAACAATACTGGGAATAGTAAGGAATATCGTTTTCTCTGAAACTATGGGGGAAAGCCAAAAATAAAAGGTTCTCCTTTCAATTGTCTTTTCTTTATATGCATATCAATGTAGATTGAAACTATAAGCCTTGGCTGTATCTTGTGATTAAGTTGCTTAGCCATTCTTTAATTAGAGTTTGTGATTTCACATATATGTAAAATAGTCTTGCTTTAAAGAAGACTTATGTTTTTCTGGCTGTCTGAATTTTGATTAGCTGACTAGAAGCTAAATGTTTTGCATTTTGGTAGCCTTTTTTATTGCAATCTGTGCAGGGGTGTTCACTGCAAAAGAATAAAAAAACAACCCTAAAATCTGTAGCAATATGCACTGAAGAAATATGGTGGTATTTTATATGAAATACACTTAACAATCAAAGTTTCCTTAGAGTAAAATGCGACCTGATGAGTGGTCCTGGTGTCAAAACTTATTTCATTCAGACTAGGTTCTGTATTTTTCTCTTTATGTACCTTGTACTATTATTCTATACAAGAGAATTACTTCCACTCCCCTCATTGTAACAGCTGCTGAGATGTAATTTTGTGATTTAATACAGCTTTGAGAAATAGGAAGAGCGATTATTTTCATCTTTTACAGATTGTTTTCATCTGGGTACTAATGAAACATGTAGAGGCCAAAATTATTCAACACGCAACAGACAAAAATGAAAAGCTCCTTGCTTATTTTTACTTTATTTCTGTACTGTACTAGAGAGGGATGCCATTGTTATTCAGGGCCTTTTACTGTGGGAATCTCACTTAGTAGGTTTTTTGCATGATTATTCTGTGTCTTCAGAGGTCTTTAGTTTTCTGAACATATGAACCTTCTGCACATGTTGGCTTATGCAGTTTCCAGTGCAAGGTGTAGCATAAGTGCAGTATCATTAGCTGCATACTACCAGCAAATCTAAATTCTAATGATGAAGACAATCAGTTAACGATACTAAAATGTAATTTAGTACAGTTCCACTCTGTGGCACCCAGGAACATTGTTCCTCACCTTGCAGTATATTCGTAAGCAGATGAGTCCAATGCAGCAAAATAATAACTACGTATGTCAGTTTTTAAAAATAGATGAACAAAGGCATCCTTTTGCAGGTGGACTGAAAGATGAGTTCACAAAATAAGCAAATAAGTTGATAATTCTAGAACAAGATTACTTGTGTTAACAAAGCGCATATGTTCAATATTGCTATGTTTGGAGATATATAAGTGGTGAAGCAAAGTGTGTGCAGTATGTTTCTCTGCAGGGGTGGGAGAAGCTTTGTGTTTCTGTGGAATTTATTTTATGTTTATTTTTTGAGGTAGTTATTTATTTCTATGTCCCATAGAAAGTGGGAGTCCTGAATCTCGAGTTAATGCTGTTCACTTCTTGGTCCATAAACTCCCAGAAAAGAACAAAGAGATGCTGGAAATTCTGGTGAAACATTTAGCGAAGTAAGTGTTACGACCTTCATTTCCTACCTTGTCAGAACTCTTGTGCTTACCTTCATTTAACTGTTAGGGGCCTTAGTTAAGTGTGGCTGGAGCTGAAGCCCAGCTCAATGCTGTCATACACAATACCAAGAACCAAACGTGCAAAAGCAGACAAGACGTTTGACTCATGCTGTGTATATTTTGGCGGGAAAGGCAGAAATCTAATCCGTTAATGAAGCCATATAAGTATTTACTTAAGCAGTCCTGCCAGCAGTTGAGGGTTTGATTGAAGTGAGAAAGGGAACATTATACTTTCTTCTTGCAAATTCTGGCAAAGTGAATAGTGGAGATCTGTTAGCAAATTTAAGTTGGTTTCACACTTGCCCTGGTCCAAGGCTAAGTGCATTTTATATATTTAAGTTCAGTAAGAGACTGCTTTTGTTTTTAAATTACTAGTGAAAGAATGGGTTTTCTGTTTTCCAGAATTCAGCAAGACTTTATTTGAAGAAACGTTGCACAAAACAAACTTCTAAAACATAGGTTAAGGAAATGTAATGTTTTCATTTGTAGACTGCAGTTTCCAACAGTAATGGAAATTTTTCATAACCTATTTCCTGTCTTTTCCTTCAATTCTTTTCAAAAAGTGTTTCAAAGCATGCCAAGAGGAATCTAATGACTGTGGCAAATCTAGGGGTAGTATTTGGACCAACCTTAATGAGGCCACAGGAAGAAACTGTAGCAGCCATCATGGACCTGAAGTTTCAGAATATCGTTGTCGAAATCCTGATAGAAAATCACGAGAAGGTAAGCTTTGACACATGTCTGCATTTCTGAGCGTTGTTTAAAACAATCTGCTAGGCTTAATGTGTAGTGTGAAGTATGATGTTTCAATTAGCTTAATTCTAAAGAGTATTCCCTATACACTGCATGCTTCTGGCTATTTATACTCGGTAAGTAGTCCTGTTCATAGGTAAACTGCCACTTCAGAATGCATATTTCCTGGCAGTAGCAGTGCTTTTGTGTATGTAGTACACAAATAGATTTTCATTATGATATTTGCATATATGTTTTTATGAGCAAAAGCGATACAAGATTGAAAAAGAGAAAGCCCAGGCTCAGTTTTTAGCCCTTCAGTTAAGTACTTCGACCAGGGTCTGAATTAATTCTTCTATGTCTTAATTTTTCTGAGAGTTCAGAGAGTAAAAAGAATGCTTTACTAAACTTTGAATTTTATGTGGGAAAAGCATTATGAGAGAGCCAGGTATTAACATTTCCTTTGTTTTCAGCTGAATGTGTGTTATTTTAAGCTTTTGCATTTGAGGTAATACTGAAAATAGTTGTTGTTGCTGCTGCTGTGGCAGCTGCCAGTTACTAAGATGTCTTACACATAAAAGGTACTGACCAGAATGTAACCTGCGTTCTGAAATTAAAAAAAAAGTCCTTTACTGGTCTCTTTGTTTGGTCCTTCTGTGGGAGTCCCTCATGTCTAAGCTGACTTCTGGAACTAAATATTTTGAAGTACTTTGCTTGTACTGGGAGGATGGGCAGCATCGCCCTCACTCTTATTCTCAAAAAAAGTGCTCTGGAAAAATTCCAGGATGTGTTTTTTCCTCTCTTCTTTCTTAAGCACTCCAAGCATTGAAATAGTTATTTCTTTTAAAGGTTAACAGTGTTGAAATGGGCTGAGTCAGGTCTTATCTACTCTAAATAATACCTATCTCAGGTTTTCCTGACAACGTAATTACACTACCTCTCTGAATGGTACAGACTGGGCAAAGCTGCTGTTGGCATCACTGTATCCACATGGTGGCTTAGTTGGCTCAGGGTGTAATGCTGCCCTCGCACACACATTGAACAGGTATGGTATTGTTCTGATGGAAAAATACTGTGCTGCAGATGTGGCTCAAGCTCTAGGTGGTAAATATTCCAAGAATTGTAAGCTGTGCTATTCATTTTGGACCTTATAAATGAAAGCAAGCTCATGATTTTGAAGCTATTGCAGTGACCGCACGAATTTAAGAAAGTGGAGAGAGAGAGAGAAAGTGGAGAGAGAGCAGAGCCCAGGGTGTTTTAATAGCATGTGGAGGTTGACACTGAGTTATGCTTATTCAATTCACCAGATCACCACAGATTGGCACGGTCTTATTCTTATGCCAGCTCAGTCACATGTCTTTAAAAACTGGACATCGATTTCAGGTTTGGAACACTAGTTGTAGTGGCCTTTCTTGTTCCTCTGAAAATGTAGAGAAGCAGGGAATGGAAAGTACATCAAAATGATACTGCATAATTTTCCATAATTCCTTGGGTTTATGCCTTCTTTAGAAATAGAAGGCTATAATTTTTTTAAGGGATTTCTGTCTTTTCACTGTCATTTCTAACAGTGAACTTGCCATCAGTGGTCTGCCTGCAGCAACCTCTCCCACGCTAGAGCTGCTTCCAAGATGGAAGGGAAGCCCCAAGTGTGACCTCTGTGTATATATAGCAAAGGCAATGGAGAAGTGTGTGTTAAGGCATTACAAAAATATTATAGTTGAATTTAATATGTTGCTTTTACAAGTGAGCCATCTTCATTTAGGGCAGACCAAGGACCTACTTTTAATGGCAAGCAGGCTTATTGTCGATCTAATGTTTGTTTTATATTGTTGTTTTGAATTTCTATGCATTTCAGACTTACTCAGTCTCGCGTTAGGTATTTTTATTTCTAGCCCTGGTGAAGTCCTAGGAAAAGTCACCAGCTGGGGGTTAAAATACTTTCAAATATTTCATTCAGCCACTCTTCCGCCTCTGCTAATTTTTAGCAGCTTCTGCTAATAGAATTGAAGTTTGGAAGTGTAGAAGAGTGCTGGAGTCAAGGTGGAGGTACACTGACACAAACAAACTTGAAGCAACACTTCACACTTCATGCATACCTAATTTATGGCTCTAGCAGAGTGCAGAGAGGCATTTCTTTTCCCCTGTAGCAAATGAAATGACTAACAAACTTCTAAAATGTAGAAGCAATAGCCGTCAGCATTTCCAGTTTAAATACAGTAACTTGATAGTCAAAATGGTAAAAAATTGTTATGTTTCCTCACATATTTTCATATTCCATCAACGTTCGTTATGTCTTGTCTGGATAGCTTTATTGAAGGAGATCCACAATTCATTTTTAAGAGGAGGCATAATTAGCTGGGTTACTAGCTTTGAAATCCTGGTACAGTCATTCCACTATCGTAATTCTGCTGAGTACTAATTAGAGAATTTCTGTGCAATTTATGTGTGGAAACCCAGATATGTGAACTTCCCCTGTGATAAGAATATCATGGTTAGTGCATAAGCTGTTTTTTTTTGTTTGTTTGTTTGTTTTGTAATTTTTTTTTTTTTTTAAATCTTTGCTGATATGTACATGTATTTCCTGCTAGCTAGAAACCAGTCAGTACCACTTCCACCTTGCTTACAGGCTGCATATGTACTTCTAAACCATGGCTGTGAACCAATCATAGTAGGTTGAGATGGGGATGTTTTGCAAAATCAGACCAACGTTGAGACTTGAATGCTGGAACTAGACTGTGAGACCTGATGTGTCGCTTCACTAGCATTAGAATTGCACAATGATTCAGACTAGAAGGGGGCAGATAGAAGAGCATTAGGGAAATAATTGTTTAGCTTTTGTTCTTGTCAGTTATGGATAAGTCTCTTTAAAGTACTTTTGCGTCCACTCAGAAGATGAGCTGTAGAAGCAGATCTCTACTTCAAAAGAGAAAATAAAAACTAGACCCAAGCTGAGACAATGTGTTTTACCCTCAGAACCAGCTGCTGTGGAAGGGAGGCCAGTCCAGAGGCAAACGAGACCTGTGAGTTCTCTTGCCTGCTTCTGTCATATGGGTATAGGGAAAGGCCAGCCAGATGTGCTGGGCAAAGTAGGAGCATGTTCAGTTTTGATATTGAATGATCTCTATAATTTTTCCTCGAATTGCCGTGTGTTGTGCTGAGCTGTGTGCAGCAGCGCTCTTGTTTCCTTTTGCTTTGCAGGTGTTTAAGGTTGGTGTCATTTCATGCTTGTCTTGTCTTGTCCCATTTTCCCTTGCTGTATCTGTTTGGTGTCCCTTGATTTTCACATCCCATATCCTTTCCTTCACTAAAAAGCATCAAGTAATTCATGTTTGTGTCTCCTCATTGTGTTCATTTGCTTTGAAGCTATACCTTCCTTTTGTGTTCCTTTTCTTGAGGTAACAAACTCGGGGGGCTGACTGCAGCCGTGCTTGTACAATGGCTGGAACAATCTTTGCTTGACCTTTAGGTAATCCTTGGATGAAAAGTGGTTGTCAACTTGGACCCAAAAAAAAGGTTTTGATTTCTTTTTTTCCTCGTCCCCCAAATGAGTTTCAAAGGTATAAATTAATTTTTCTTCCCAAGCGTTTCACAGACTGGCAATCTTGGACCTCTCAGCTCTTCTGGTCTGTCTTTCTGACTTGCAGTGAGGAAGAAGGGCAGTCCACTCCACGGCAGCATGAAGAGCGTGTACATACATGTTCATCTTGCTGTTTGTTACAGTGTTTTGACATCTTGTTGGAATGAATGTCACTATTCAAAGGGCTTATTTATTTGCCTTCTAGAGATGCCTCAGTGGTAATGTGAGCCATTTTGGTTTCTCAATTCTCTGAACAGTATTTTAAGAGGGGAAAAAAAAAAAAAAAAAAAACAGGATAAAAAAAGAAGTCTAAAAAATCAAAGAAGATGAGGGAGGTGGTTGGAATAAAAATCTCAGTGGGACTGGAAAATTTAAACCAGCATATGGGGGAGGAAAGAATAGTGAGTACAAATAGCAAGATTGCAAAAACAGAAAGAAGATGAGAATTATAGTGAAAGAAATGAGAAGAAATAAAGAGAGGGGCTAGACAGAAGTCCCTCATTGAGACTGGAAAGCCGGAGTCTGCTGAAAGGGAATAGGCATGGTAAAAGATATCTTTTTCTATACTTCAGGCAACCTGTGGGCAAAATCATCTCAAAGACGGTCATTTTGCAAAGTTCCTATATATAAGGCAAATACTGTTTTAATTTGTTTTCTCTATTAATCTTTTTATAAAGGGCAAAGACTTTACTTACTTTATACAAAATATATCTTTGTTTTCATTTAGTTTTGTTCAAAAGAGTTTTATGGAGAAATCTTTATGAAAAATAAATGTTTTATTTTGTTCTTACTTTAGGCACTTTTATGATTTTTTTTTTTTTTTTTAAAAAACAAGAGAAGAATTTAATACTACTGAGCTCTTAAGCCAATATCAACTTCATGTAGTAATACTTGGAAAATCTTTAGCCTTAAAACATATTACAGTGCATAATACATGCAATATTTGTGAGACAGAAGAAATGGAAGCAGGTGAAGTCAGTTATTCATCTGAGAGTATGAAGTGGCACAGTCAGATGTGGCACATGTCTCCATTCAGTGATCACGGCATGTTTAAATCAGTTCTGCTGCAGGTAAATGCTTTAGTGTACAGTGGCACAGCCATCATCTGAACTAAGGCGATATTTTGACAACACAGCAGATCCCTTTGAAGTCCTGGTAAAGAGACATGTGAGAAGTACTACAGAGGGCTTTTTTCAGCTTTCATGTTGCTTTGCCTTTGGCTGCAACGGAGGACCAAGAAGCAATGCATTGTAATTGTGGCGGTTTGCTATGCTGTAGGAATTTGAAACCTCCCCAAGCTGAATGTTTCTCAAGTCAACAAGCATTTGACTTGGAGGGAAAAAAATTACATTAAGGTATCTCCATTAGGGTATAGTTTATGAAGAAACCCATGAGCTTTAGTTCAAGAAAGTATTCAGGACAATGTGCTGAACTTTAAGCATGTAACTAATCACAAGTGTCATTGAAACTATTCCTGAACTTAATTCAGTTTGCATGCCTTAATGATTGGCTGAGTCAAAAGCAGAAAGGGCAGCAGGCACACCAAAGAAATTCATCATGGTTTCTGATAGAAGTCACAGCAGCTGTTTTGTTCCACTATAGTGTGTGCAAACTCTTTAAACCCTTTCTCTGCCCTGAGGATAGCAGAAAGCCCTTCAGTGTGAGACACCCACACACATGGTGTGGTAAACTAACTGCAAATCTTTTTGTTTGTTTCTTTGTTTAAAAGATGACAGTTTTCTAAATCTTAATGTGGTTTATGCATAGTAAGTGACTGCAGTTGGTGATGTTAAAAGGAACTAAGTCTGGATCAATACCTGGATTGGTATGCTGTTAGACTGCTCTAAAAGAAACAAAACATGTACTGTGAGTAACCGTATTAGGTAAAAAAATAAAATTAAACCAAAAGTCATGCTCTCAGGGATAGAAGTTGTCTGCTGAGACGCTGCACTACAAATACATGGCATGTTCAAATAATATAGACACAGATTTCTGCCTTCTTGATTTGCCTATGTTATTTACGGTTATTTTTGGGAAATTTCTCTCAACTTCATATGAAATTTCCAAGTTTTCCACTGCCTACAGGCAATGTTTCTAAGTAAACAGAAATTATGATAAGGCAGTGGATTTCAGTTGACTAATATTTGCTTCAGTCTTGATGATCAGGGTTCTGTGCTTCCATGTATGGAGGAGGAGGCAAGGGAGAAAACCTTATGGAGAATGCTAAATGCATGTTCTTAAATAAAATTTTGTTAGTCAAAGAAAACATTCCATCATAAGGTTCAGGGGACATGGAAAGAAGAAAAGTTGTTGTGCTCCTGAAGAGCTTAAAAGGTAAATTGTTAGGCCGAAGCTGTGTGATGTAAGAATTATACTTCATTGCAGCTGTCAATGGTAAGTGAAGCATTGAATTTACAAACTTTTTTTTTTCTTTATATTGGCTAAACTGAACTGAATGCCATCTTATCTGATCATTGCTAATGGATAATAGTGCAATATGTTGTTGTGTTTTTGTACATACTCTTTGGAATTCTAGTAAGCTTTTCCCTTACCAGAGAGGTTAGTGTATTTCAAACCATTTAACAGATTTTTGAATAAACAAGATGTGGCAGTCAGCTGATAATACATTATTTCCAGTATTATTATTTTTGTGTGCATGCCATTTACACTAATGAAGCATCAGTACTTCATTGCAGAGGGTGCTGGACATACAAATGAAAAACATGTACTTTGCTTCCAAAGACCCTATAGTCATAATGTAAGATAAAAAAAAGTATTTTAATGAAAACAAAGAGCAGAAAATATTGTACAAAGCAATGATGATATAAATCCTCGTGATGGCAGTAGGGAAATCTATGGAGAAGAAAATGCTATGGTGAGGCTTCATGGTTGGCTACAGCTGGCAGTGTCTCCTGCAAAGATCTTGACATACCGTTCTGATGCTTTGTACAGTCACAGTGTGGTAGGGGGTCAAATGTAGGTTTTTATTCTCAATATATTATTCACCTTTCTGTTTATAAATTTTATAGAAAACTAGGTGTGACATATTTATTTGTATGTGTGTGTATTAATGTTAATACGTGAATATTTATTACTAATGAAGGGGAGATCATGTTTACCTGTGGTGTTTTTGGCTGTGGTGGTTGTTTTTGCTGGCTCCTGACTTAGGTTTGTATGTGCCGCCTTTTATCTTCTCAGGACTTCTCAGACTCTTTGCAAGAGAAAATTCTTGCAAACATTCTCGTTCTGCATTATTTTCCATTTAGTAGCTAGGAGTATGTTGTGTTTTAGAAAGCTGGGCAATTAGATCGAGTATTTAATCTTCTAATTTGAAGGCTATTTTTTTTTTGGTTATTTTAAGTATTTCCTGTAACTAAACAGCATACACAAAACTGTTATGTGTAGCTGTAACAGGGAGAGACAACCTTTTTAAAATACTCTCCTTGGTGTGAGTTACAGTAGGTGAGCATAGAAGAGAAGGTAAATCTGCTCTTTCTGCTGCTGCAGTGGACAAACCTGTAGGTATTTCAAACCTGGTATATGTTTAACTCTCTCATTTCCTTCTATGAATAAAATGGATTGGTTGACAGCAGTGAATGGGCTGCTATCAGGACCATTCTTCTCATCAATTGTTAAAAGGTGGAGCGAGATGTGATACGCTGGAAGCTGCAGTCTTTGTGTCAGGAGTGCTACTTTTAGAAAGGCTGAGTCAACGAACTCATAATTCGCAAGCGATCAAAGGACACACGTTTTTAACCTTGGTGTGTTTTTTTTCTTACATCCTTTCACAGCTGTCCTCCAGACGGTAATGTCATGTTTTACAGGCTATGTTTAGTTGCTTCATTAAAGCTCGAATGTGAACTACATGGTTCGAGGTAGTCAGGCCAAATGAGTGGCTACTAGGGTCTGCAGATACATCAGGTTTGCCTGAAAATTCCCTCAGTTCTTTTGTCACTCTCGTAGTTTGCAGTTTGTCCAGAGCTCTAGTTGCTTTTATGTTACGAGGAGCTGATAGCAGATATACCAGTTTTTTTACAAGATTGAGAGTCACAGTGTCCACAAATTTCCTAAAAGCAGTGTTTCACTTTGCTGTGGGTAGTCAGGCTGCTAGGCAGATGGTCGCAGCAAATGATATCTTTGCAATGAAGAAAAGACTATCTTGGATGGAATCATTTATTTATTTATTTATTTTTCAGAGCTTTGTGGTTTGGCTCACAGCCAAGGATGTTTTCTGTTTCTAGTTTTGACTTATACCCGGTTAGTTTTCAGGCCGCATCCTCTGTTGCACTGTAACTAAACAGTGTGCCAGGCAACATCAAGAGCACTGTTGATGCTTTCTGGTTGGTGGCCCTCTAGGGCCTTAGCTTCAGGTATTGTTCAACTCTTGATCTGATTTTTTTTCTTTTTTTTTTTTTTATATTTTTTCCCCCCAAATATAATGACTGTGAATATTGCTTAAAGGTATTTTGTGGTTTGTAGTGGGAATCAAGCCTCAAACTTCAAAGCCTCAGAAAATCTGCATCCTGTGCAATCTTATAGAAGTCAGTGCACAGCAAATCATATTTTACAGTGTGTGGATGCTGAGGTGCAGAAGTCAGGATGACTACTCTGAGGCAGGCACACCTGTGGACATGATAGTAACCTTGGGGAGGTAAGTTAATTAAGGATTCTAATTACGTTATTGGTAATTTTTATTGAAGATTTTGTGAACCTTTTTTCAAAAATATTTAATATTATTTTTAGAAATAATCAACCTTATCACATTGTGTACACTGAAGATGTATTCTATTTGATGTAAAGAATTTCTAGTGCATGTATTTTATATTTATTGAATCATGAGTCTGAGAACCAGAAGAAATGGATCATATTGACTAAAACCAGAAATGGTTTGATCCATAGTAAAGTGCAAAAGAGTAAGAAATTACAGTAACAAAGTATAGAAAGTACAGTAATAAAGGATTACAATTAATGTACAATTAGTGGCTAGTGGTTACAAATAATGGCTGAGCTACTGCAGTGTATTTTAAGATGCTTATTTTAACCTTGCCCTTCCTGAAATGCTTGTATCTACAGTAAAATTATAACTTGACCTGAAAGACATTGTTGCTTCATGTTTTCAGGGTATGGCAAAAAGAAGGGCACAATTTTCTTAAGAAGAATAAAAGCTTAGAAAGACTATCAGGGTAAGAGCATGCTGTGAACCACTAAGACAGTTGGCCTCTCTTCTTGAGCATTTTTGTCTCTAATATAAATATGTGGTTTTTGTTTTTGTACAGGTTGCTGGATCTAACCTGAATTGGGTTTGCATTACATTGAAAAGGCGCTAAGTCGAGAAAAGACCATGGTGATAAGTTTTTCTTGCGCTATCCCACCAGCTGCTAATTTATAAAATATTCTTTGATCAGCATATAGGATAGCCAGTTGTCATGGAACTGCAAGGAGTACCACAGCCATAAAATGTATAAGGGCAGAGCGGTATATGTGGCCCAAGTGGATGATGTTTTATATTGTTCAATAAACATTAGTTGAAGTGTCTGTGTGTGTTTCTTTTATTTACCAACTGCAAATCAAGTGTATATTGAAGGGAAATTACCCAAGTAAAAAAACTTGTATTGATGATGTTCTTGTCTTGAGAATACTGTCCTCTAAAAAATATGATTGTAATAGTGGAGGCTATACTACTAGCCGAATTTCAAAGAACTTGGAATGACCTTGCAGGTTCTAGCCTCCTCTGCATTAGACAGCGACTTCTGATACTGTGATTCTTCTGCATGTATTGAAAGGAAATAGATGCATGTTTTGTGCGGTAGGTGTTATGAGAGTGAATGGGGGTTTTGTCTTGCAACAAAATCATGGCGCAACTTTAAGCTGTTAATGATTTTTTTATAAGTTTATCCTCATTAGCTCTATTACTAAGCCTCCGTTTTTTTCTCCCCTCTTTTTCATCCCACTCTGTCCTTGCTGTTTGCCTCCCACTGATTTTTAGAGGAAATTTTAATTACCCCAGTGATACAAAGCAGACAGAGATGACCTGATGTCTGGGTCTTTTCCTAAAGTGATTCCTGGCAAACATACTGAAATTCATTAATTAGTTCTGCTTGAGATGAGAAAGAATAGATCAGTATTCTCTTGTAGCTGCAGAATCTAATCTACATTTTCATGTTCAACTATACATCTAGTCATAAACTCGTGGAATAATAGGCCAAGTTAATTCCTCCCAGCCATGGGTTTTTAGAATTTCTAAAATGGGCTCTACTAAGAGCTCAGAATCTAGAGTCCAACACTATTGTTGCAGATTAAGGGAAATCTGGCAAAATTCCTTGGGCTACTGCCATGTGGGTCTGCTGGTAGAATACAGTATGATAATATGTTGAATTTGGCTCATTACTCTCAAGAAATGCTTCTATAGACTGTGGGACATGGGTTTAGGAATTGGAATGGTTTTATGTTGGGATGGTCTTGGGCTCACTGCTCTAGACAGGGCTGTTATTAGCGGTGTATATGTAAGATGGTTTGTGGTTTGTTTAGACTTGTAAGGTATCCATTTTGTACTATTGCATAGAGTGAAATAGGTCAAACATACCAGTGTTTTAAATTGCTGAACAAGAGTCTCATCTTTTTTTCTTGTAACTTCTACACTTCAGGCTTGAAGTATAATCCACCACTTAAGTCAGTGTGCACTTTTAAATTCTTCTTCCGTGTAAGATCAGACCTAACCAACCATTTAAAATACTGGATTAACTGAGATAGGACTGACTAACAGTTGGAGTTGCTGCTCGGTAAAATTTTGAGTGCTACATGTGTTAGTCTTCTCCCTTATGTAAATTGTTTCACTTCTGAGTTTGCCCCCAAGTAGGTCAACAGCAGGATGCCTGTGCTTCTGAGAACTACCTTATAGAGAACTGATGTTCTATAAATCTCATGCAGTTTGGCCACAGTCTCAAAAGCTATGTAACACTGGATGTGACTGTGAAGTCCTTAAACTCAGAGTCTCATTCACTACATTTTTATTGCTTCTTGAATGAGGTAATTCAGTCATGGGACTTCATTCTTGTCTTTATATGGGCATTAGTCTAAGCTGTGGTAACTTCTGCGATCTAGATGAGTGATGGTGGTAGACCTGACTTTTACTTGAAGTGAGGCTTTTTTTTGGAATAGCACAAAGATCTATTTAAGTAGTGTGTTCCAGTCCTGCTCTTTCATCGGAGGGTTTCCACCTGATTGAATATGTGTGGTTGCCTCACCATGCATCTGATAGCAACAGCTTGCAGTTCAAGAAGGTATTCCGACACTTAGTCAGGTGTGGTTCCATGCTGTTGTGCAAGTCAGTCAAAGCACGACAATATTAGTACCACTTCAGGTGCTCACATTGTGTATGTATAATTTTGAATTCCGTCTTCTGTGCATACATGGTGTGCCTCTGACAACAGGTCTCTCACAGCAGGCATCTTTTATTAGCTGTGAAACATTTACACTTCAGTGGTATTTAAATAATAAATAAGGCTAGAAGCAAATTTGAATAAAACCAAAAAACTTTTTTCCCCACAACTGAGATAAAGCATGCCTCCATCTCCCTGTTCTCAGGCAGATGTTATAACGCTTCTGTCAGTGCAGCAGACCAATATCCATTAAGGCATGATGAAAAGTACTTGTCTATTTAAGTGAAAATAAAGCAAGAAAGAGAAGCTGAATGCTGTATGTGCACTTCTTAGGGCAGAGGTTGACCTTCTGCTTGCTTTTCAAGTGCTCACCTTTGCAAAACTGTAGGATGAGCTGTAGCTTTGGCCTGCAACAGAAAGAGATTTCTACTGCTGAAAAAGAAGGTCTACTTATGGATGGGCTGTACTGGATTTCATTTTCCTACTGAAAAGACAAAAAGAAAATACAAAAGTAGGGGTGAACACAAATATGAGCTGCTTGAAAGAGCAAAAATGACCCCAAATATACTTTTTCATGCAACACATGAGGGAAGGATGTTTCTTGTTTTTTATATTACCCCCCCCCCCCCCCCAGTTATCTTTCTAGTGGTGGTTGTGTGTATGTTTTTGGGGTTGTTTTTTGTTTTTTGTTTTTTTTTTTTTTGGTTTGTTTGTTTTTATGTGTCTTGGAATCCTACAGAACAACTTGTGATACTTGTTGATTTCATTGCTGAGTATTACAATTAGTCTCAATTTGTTCTGCCTGCGTAAATTTACTCTGCAGATAGTAAAGAGGTTACATTCTCTAGTTCACATCTGAATACTTCTTTCACGAATCCCTTAGTTCTCTGTGGAGACAGATATTGAATGTGAGCACAAGGAAGAAAGTGCTACAGCTTGTAACGCTGCATCAGAGAAGTGTAGGAGTGAGAGGATGGAGTTTGTCCAGGTCGCAGTCAGTGTGGGGAACATGTGGCCTCGTGCTACCCAGGAACTCTTGGGAGGTGATCTCTGCTCCCTAGAAAGCAATATAGTACTTACTGACCTTATCCCAGAAATGAAGCTTCCCTAGCAACCTGTTACAGCAAGAAGTTGAGAGCAGAGCGAGGTAAAATAGGCGACAGGCCCGATGTGCACCTGAGCGTCCTGTCTGCAGGAGGGAACTTGGCCGGCCGGCCATCAGCCCAGCGCTGTGACTGGGTAGCACCGAGTTGTGCTGAGCAGTGCTGTTGGGAAACGTTTGTGCACAGCTTTGCCACTAAAAAAAAATGAAAGGTAGAGGTGATAGGCTTATCCTGACGGTGAAAGAGAGGACTCAGTAACCCTAACATTTTATCAGGGGAGAGAGAACTATTTTGGGCAGCTCGTGTCTACCTGCCACCAGTATCACCATGAAGTTAGCTAGCATGTGCTGGACTGCCACTGTTTGAAGTTTGACTTCACTGCTTTCTTGTTATTTCTCCTATTTATAGGGGTTTTCACCCCCCTGCTCCCTCATAAAACAGAACCAACCACCAACCTTTTTTTTCACATCACATAGCTACTTGCAATTAGTAATCTTGGGTTCGTACCTGTCTCCAATTCATTATCCTGTTGCCTGTGGGGCACTGAGTATCATTGAGTAAGGATTGCTTTTATAGTTTTCTTGATTGTGTTTTGCTTTTGTGACTTAGTTTTTCATTGCTAATGGCTGTAGAAGAGTGTATTGAATATTTGTGAGAGATGAGGAAAAAACACTTAAGAACTTTACTGCAACTTGTGCAAGTCACCTAAATGCATACAAGAAAGCTCATTTCTTATGAAGTACTCCTGGGGAATACTTGTTCTTCTCACCATCATTAATTTCAGAGGAGATGCGTGGATAAGGCTGTACAAATAAACACAGCTGCTGAATGTGACATAGTAAACAACATGCTGAAACCTCTTGGCAGAGAGATATTTATGAGGGAACCCAAACTCAACACTTAGTCCATAGAGAAGATGGCATTTAAAGTTCTGGTACTTTTAAATTTTTTGGAAGCAAATATTTATCCCTAAACCTGCTCAATCTAGCCTTGTATTTACACATAAGGGGGCAGTGTGGTACTGTTAGCCAAGTGCCATGTAGGTGCACATTAGATTTCATTATTATATATTGCATCATGTTTTAAGAAATGTCTTTAGCACTCTGAGCACAATTAGAGCTTTGTCACTGTCTGAGAGTGCTGCTGCATCTGTACCGGGGACAACCAAGTTGGACTGTTTTCTTTCTTCTCGATAAACATTTTGTTTATAGAGAGTTGCTTGCGCTATTTTGGCATTCTGTCTTGTAATCCCTTGTTCATAGGCATGTGAAGGAGTGTGAGCCAGTTTTCTTAACACTGGTATGGGGAAGTTCAAATTACATCATTTTATCTCCCCCACAGCAACATTCACTTGCTGAGGAAGAAGGTAATATTTCCACTGGAGCTTTCCTTTGCACACCACATATAGGCTTTCAGCCCACTGCTGCGGAGTTTTGGCAAGATGGTGGTTCTTCCCCAGTTTTCATGGACAACGGTGGTTCTAATTATTTTGTACCATCACAGTCTTCTAGCTGCCAGTACAAGAGTGATGATTAAGTGGCAGTAAGCCAGTGTGTACGTGGGTTCTTGGGTCACCTTATTCCTACATGTGTTAATATTCAGGGTTTACAGGTCAGGATATGATGGCGTGTAGTATTTCTTATACTTTTAACATGATGTCTTGAGTGCATTACCACAGGATGCTTATGGCATTTTTCTCACTTGTAGTCTGACTGGCTTTTAGCTTTCTGCTGCACCTGACGTGCTGTAATAATCAAAAAAATGTGTTATCTGTGGTGCCTCTTCATACTTTCTGCGTGAATTTCTACTTCATAAAAAGCTTCTCCTTCAAAGATTCATTATGAGTCTCCTCTTTATAATATTTCCTACACAAATACATGGCAATGTAAAGTTGCAGAGTAAAAGAACACCATATACTGTTTAATTATATCTTGTTATATTACTGTGTTGCGTTGCTGTAAGGTGCTGTACCAGATACAGGGCTTTTCTTGTATAAAGCTGCTGTTTGTGTTTATCTGCTGGTTTGTCTTTGATGAAATACATATTAAGGTAAGTTGGCCATGTGAATCTGCCATGATGACTTGTAAAAGGCTTCTGGTAAATTGTACATCAGCACACTGATGATTTTTTAGAAGTAAATCAGCATCATTAGGCTGTATGCTGTATGTGGCGATTAAAATAAAAATGCTGTCAGGTTGAGCAAATCTGCGTTGCTAGTTAATCCAGAGAGAAGTGACATGGTATTTTGTATGGAGTGATATACGCTAGTGGTCATGACTCAAAAGATAAGATGATGACAAGAAATGCAATCTTTTTCATATGTGTGTTTGTGAATATCATCACTTAATATATATGTGACTCAATATGCAATAGTTAACTGAAAAAATTCTCCCATGGTATGTTGTTATGGTATCTCTCAACAAGAAACCCCTCCCCTCAAAATAAAATAAATTTTTTTTTTTTTTTTTTCCCCAGTTAAAATGGCTGATGTTATAATGGTATCAGAAGTTTTGAAAATTAAAATGGGTATTCTGGTAAAATTATAGGTCCTCGCTAAAGCTATAAAGCTCTTTGGTTACTGGTTCATAAAGTTAGTAGCCCCCTTTTTCCCCTTCCCCTCCATCCTAGCTGGCAAGCCTGGCTGCAAATATTTTGTCTCTGGATTAACTGATTTTCAGCTTGGTTATTATGTAGACAGTGCCCTTGCTTATTTTCTTATGATATCATATTTATTTATTTATTTTAAAAGCACTCATTAAAAACCCACGGCATACTCCCAAACTTGAAGGAATGGATTTTTGGCTCTTGGCTGCTTTGAATGAAATCCAAACCAAATGTTGTTTGGTAATGGTTTATAGTTGCATTACACAGGTTGCTCTTTGTGATAAACAATTAACACCCTTTGTGTTCTTGATTGCAGATTTTCAAAACCCTGCCTGATGCCACTTTCCCTGAGCCAATCTCCATGTCAGTATCTCCTCCAAATGCCCCACCAAGGCAGTCAAGAAGACAAGGACAACGTATTAAGAGGCCTCTGGCTGTTTACAATCTCTGTCTTGAGCTGGATGATGGTAAGATGTTAGTAATAATTTCAGTCTTTGCAGCAGATGGGCTGTGTATCCTATCTTCAGTAGGTGTTTTCATTTCATGTTTCATTTGTGTGCTTGTTTAATTGCTTTGGAACATGTAAAGAAGCAAGGAGAGCATAGAGAGTACTGTCCTGTGACATATGTTTAAAAGTAGGACGAACTGTCTTAAATATGCTTTCTGCCTGTAAAAAAGAAGCAGCTCCTGTTTCTTTGGGGAAATCTCTTTGACCTCTACTGAAGATTACACAGCCATAAGATAAATGGAGAGAGAACTAAAATTAAAGCAGTTCTTTTATGAGAAGAGCTAATGTACTCTACGGTTAAATTCATCTGGATTAAAGGCTCAGGTCACAACTGCGCTGGAGAATACTGCTACTTCACTTGAATCTTTAATACCTTGATGTAACTAGCAGTAAATACTTGTAACTTGCCTTACTGTTGAGAAGCAAAGAAAAAATCTTGCTTTTGCACAGTCTGCAGTAGCAACATAGAGTGAGGCAAAGAGTGTATAACATCTTATATATTCTGACTGTTGGCTAGAAACATAACCATTTTCCTGAAATTTTATTGCTTGGGGGTACATGCAGTACTGAGAAGGCAAGTCAGGGCTCATTTTGTGTTACAGATTTTCTCCACCCTATTCCCTTTCTCGTAATGTTAGTCAATTGTCTTTTCACATGACAAATCATGGAATCAGGGCATAATGTCCAGTTATCATCAAGTGAAAATAAGCAGGAAGATTTTCAACTCATGCAGTAATATGAGATTCACTGATGAACTGTGATTAAATTAGTGGTCAACAGCGGTTGATTTCTTAAGGAAAGAGCACAAATAATTACAACAGCTCTTAAGTGCAGGTTTTAGAAATAAACTCAGGACTATTTAGTGTCTCAAAGCCAATTTTACAAAGAATCTGCAAGAAATTCAGTATGCCTTCCATCAGATTTAATTCACCAGAGAGATACATAATATCTGTGCCTTTCTTTTCTTGCTTCAAATATGAAACTAGAAACCTTGACTAGAAGGTGTTTAAGGTTCATCTACTTAAAAAGCTTAGGCTGTGTTAATTTGAATAATATGCTACCAAAAGCTAAGAAACCTCTTGAGCTATACCTGCAATAATAAATGTAGCCTCGTTTGAAAAATAAAACAAAATTGAAGCCAGAGTTGTTTACATCTAATTTTGAGTGTGAATCCCAGCAGGTCGCAAGAAGTACCACAGCTTCTCCAATTCGGTGTTGCAAGGTGTGCACTGAGGACCTGACTTTGACCTTAACACAGTAGACAGAAAGTATTTGATGGGTTATTTTTCTTGTAAGATCAAAAAATACAGTGTTACTGTTGAAAACTGCTATAAGTATTCAATTTCTCCTAAATACAGTCCATATTTTTGTCTAATTAGGGCATCTCAACAAAGAGAAGAACTGGAGTTGTTAAAGGCTGTAATTGTTATATATCATGCAGAAATTTGGTACTTGTCTGGGAGTTCTAGTGTGGTGAATTGCAGAATAACCTAATACATCCTCATGCACAGTGATGAAGCCTGAATTGCTGCAGGTAAAGTCACAGTTCCAGAATGGATGGCACTGAGTTTCAATGGGATCAGAAAATAACATTTCCCCTTGTAAATTCTAAAAAAATACCCTCTATAATGTCTCCGGCCACTACTGAAGGTAGCTGTATTCTCAACTTGTTGTTGCTAGAAACTGGCTGTTGGTAGGTCCTGGCTGCATGCTAATGCTTATTTTGTTTGTGTTTAACCAGATAGCTGTGGCGGTGAGCTAGTCAGTAGTTGGTACAACGGTGGTTTGGCATGTGTGCAGTATACAAGGCAATACAGTACCTTACTCCCAACTGCGTCACTGCATTATCTGAGGAACTACCCCAATGGATACAGGGTGCATAAATCAGCCAGGCTGATTAATTATCTAGTCACTGAGTAGAGCTCAAATATGCACTGTGGCCTTCAGTTACTTTGTTCTTTGGAGAGGAGGGGAAGGAATAAAAGTGAGGCTGGGCTTCGTTCCATATTTACCTAGTTTCTTGGCTAACAAATGCATGTTTTATAACTGCTCTTTGGAAGATTTTATCCTGTGTGTGTTTTTAACAGGAAATTAAACATTAAACCCCTTCCCTCCCCCCTCTTTATTCACAATGGCATGAGTTAAGCACCAGGCATAAGCCAGTGTTTTGTATTTCCTGGATATGGCAAAATTATCATAATCTTGTTTTAAACCAAGCAGCTGATACATATTTATATATAAATATGTTTGTAGACAAATATATCTCTAAAGTTATTGTAACTATATGTAAGTATTTCCTATGCCTTGAAACTAGAAGTATGTTGGAGACAAAATCTCTCTGTGCTGGAAAACTTCTTGAGAGTGTTTCTCTTAGGATTGTTATGCAAACCAGGAAATTGTTAGAAAAGCGGAAACAAGTCTTTAACTATCAGGTGCTCCAGGGAGTTAACAGGCTTCAGAATCCACTGCTTGAATTGGAAATGCAGGATTTGGGCCAGCTTTTCTTTTTAAAAGCACGTTAGCAGTCGGGAAGCTTTTTGACTGCACGCAAAATGTATGCAGCAACCACCCAGAAGGGGCTCTAAGTGACATAAATATTGATAGATATAATAGCTGAAGAACACACACTTTGATAAAAATCTTTATTTTTGCCTTCTAGTAATTAGCTGTGCTGAGTTCTGATAGCACATAGATTTTCCTTGTACATGGCAATTAGATGATTAAACCTATTTGCAAACAATTCAAGTATTATATTTACTACCAGAAGGATCTTAATTTCCCGAAATACAAACTTAAGTCACAGATGATACTGTCTGTTTTTCTTTCAACTTCTTTCCTCTCTGGCAAGCCAGTTACTAAATTTTCACTCTGATGTTTTTCAACATCTCAGTGCCTCAAGTAGAGCTAGACTTAATGAGGAACTTTGAACTACTTTCGTACGTGGCTTAAACCCGAAGTTCTTGTTTCAGCAAAATGCAGATTTGTCTGAGATTTACATTAGGATCATTTCCAGAGTTTTCTTGCCTTTTAAAATGAAGACATGGGATTTGTTTGTTTTTTGTTTTATTTTCTTCCCTTTTTCTGGAAATGTCTTCCCCCTGCCTCCCCTTCTACCATCTGAATGAATTTTAGAGTGGGTTAAGTAGCAATGCAGAAACTCCTGTGGCTTACAGTCTCAGCCATGTACAAATGACTTTGCATTCTCTCTCTGTCTCTCTATGCAGAGAGAGAAAGGCTGTTTGCTAGAACAGGGAGTTGTTTATCCTGTTCTTCTAAAAATGTCATTGGGTCTTTATTTTCCGTTTGGACAGTCAGTATATATCAGAAGAGAGCTCTGTTTATATTTCTTATAGAAGGCAATACAGAGTTACAGTTTTGTTCCCTCTCAATTTTATTTTAATTTTTATATACTTGTTTTGTAGCAAAATAAACAAGTTTTTGTTTCGTTTTTTTTCAGTCGTCTTCTGTGCCAAAGACTTAGAGATTATTAAACTATTCTGCAGGGCTACTAGAGCAACATGGCAAGAAAAGTCCTATGTAAGGTAGGCAGTATAATGCAGTCCATCCAAGAAGAACAGAGAGTCAGCATGAGTTGCATAAATCACACCTGGACTCAAGAAATGGGTCTTGCATGGCAATTTGACCAAATACAGGACAACTTGTTTTCTAAACAAGCCAAAATATACTCCTTAAGCAACAGTGCTTGCTGATGCCTTGCTCTTTGAATACCCTCTAGGTGTCAACGTTTCTCATTGGCACATACATGGACATAGCACACTAGTATCATATGGGGACCTACTTTGTTTTGTTTTTAAGGTGTTTGTCTCTTGTCCCCCCACGCTGGAACTCAGGAGGTATATGGGGTGTTTCCGATAGGTGCTGATGTAAGTTAATGTGATATTTGTAGTACTTTAGAAAAAGATTATTGTGCAGAATTCTAAAAGAAATAAAAATTAGAACTGCTACTTAACCCTTTAAAACTTCGTGCTAAATAGTATTACCTTCTGAAGTATTTAGGGAAGCCAAAGTATGAATGGTATGTTAGTATTGAATAAGAGCAGCTCTTTTTGATTTTTTTTTTTTTTTTGGTGGGAATTGGAGTGAGACAGTCTCTTAAATTGGATGATAAATTAATTTACATGAACTACTCTGGCATTCAGTTAAATTACTTCATCAAAGTAAATGTGATCCGTGTAATGGTTAGCTTCCATCCCTCTCCGGCTTCTCCCATGCCTTCCTACCCCAAACAAATAAGTAGAAAATCATAAACTTCATTTGGAATCACTGAACATAAAATCTGGATGTTAGAGAAAGCCTTGGATTTATACTGAGGAGACTGGTCTTCAGGGCTGGAACAGCCCAGAGCTGCAAGGTTGCAGGTGTGAAACCTGGCCTTGAACTCTTTCTATTTCTGAATCTGCTGCTTGGAAGTGTTTTTGTAACCTGGCACATAGTAGGGGAAATGGAAAGAAAAGCAGCTACATAGGCATATCAAAAAGCCATAAGGGCTTGTAACACTTGCTTACAAAGCTATTGTTAACAGCTGAGCCAAACACAGCTATGCTGTTACAAAATAGGTGCACCAATATTAGTTGTGAGGGGAAGATCGGGATGATTGCTGTTTGCCGTGTAGAATTTAAGATGCTTTATATTTCACCTTGCTGCAAGAATAGTTCCTGCAGTTCTATGTGATCTATCACAGCTTTTTCTACCTGATGGCTCTGAGTAGGATGAGTGCTTTGAGATACTGCCAGTAAAGCCGAAGCTTTTTCTTAGGTTAATGGGGTGTATGTATAGGGTCCCAATTTTCCTATCAGGTAATCAACATCTGCTTGGGAAGCTTTGGGTCTGTAGGAAGGTACTTACTTTCTTGGAGGTATTGAATAATTTTAGTTCATGCTTTGGATACACAACGTACATTGTCTGGCCATTGTTATAGCTGTGAGTAATCTACTTGCT